TACCATCACCAATAAATACCATCACCAATAAATACCATCACCAATAAATACCATCACCTATAACTACCATCACCAATAAATGCCAATAATACCAATAAATACCATCACCAATAAATACCATCACCAATAACTACCATCACCAATAACTACCATCACCAATAAATGCCAATAATACCAATAAATACCATCACCAATAACTACCATCACCAATAAATACCACACCAAAAAACACCAACAACACCACCACCAACACCACCACACCAAAAAACACCCCCACACCAAAAAACACCACCACCACCACACCAGCATTCACCGCCGGTGCAGTTCCCTCGCGATGCCCATCGCCGGCGTACTGCGCGTGCCGGATTTTCGCACCCAAAAAACCACCGGCTTCCTCCACCATATACAACCCTCTCCACCCAGGCTTTTCTCTGCCCCAACCGCCGCACTCATGGCCAAGCCCCTGCCCTCCGCGCCCCAGGTGGTCAAAGACAAAGAGACGCAGATGCGCGAGCAGCGCGACGCCGAGTCCAAGCGCAAGGCGTACCGCGACAAGAAAGAAGAGGCCCGGAAAGTGCTCAAGCACGCCCGCATCGAGACGCCCGTGCCGCCGCCCGACGCCGTGGGCTTGCCCCGCAAGCGCTTCTACCGGCAGCGCGCCCACTCCAACCCGTTTTCCGACCACCGGCTCGACTACCCGGCGCAGCCCGCAGCCATGGACTGGGCACAGTTGTACCCGCACTATGTGGACGCGGCGTCGGGCCGCATGCGCCAGCAGGTGGAGTTTGCGGACGTCGGGTGCGGCTACGGCGGCTTGCTCGTGAGCCTCGCCACCGCGTTCCCCGACACGTTGAGTTTGGGCATGGAGATCCGCGTGCAAGTGACGCAGTACGTCGAGGACCGCATCATAGCGTTGCGTGAGCTGCACCGGCAGCAGGCGCAGTACCAGAACATCGCGGTTTTGCGGGGCAACGCGATGAAGTTCACGCCCAACTTCTTCCACAAGGGCCAGTTGGCCAAGATGTTCTTCTGTTTCCCGGACCCGCACTTCAAGCAGCGCAAGCACAAGGCACGCATCATCACCAGCACGCTCTTGTCGGAGTACGCGTACGTGTTGCGCGAGGGCGGCGTGGTGTACACCATCACGGACGTGGAGGACCTCCACCATTGGATGGTGAGGCACTTGCAGGCGCACCCGTTGTTCGAGCGCAAGAGCAGCCTGTGGGAGCAGCAGGACACGTGCGCGCAGATCATGACGGCCGCCACGGAGGAGGGCCAGAAGGTGGACCGCAACAACGGCGCCAAGTACATCGCGTGCTTCGAGAGGCTCGCCACGCCGGCCGCCTGCCAGTAGAGCTCATTGTTCAGCACTATACGCCCGTCAATACACACCTAGAGAAAGAGGCCTGCGCCGCCATCCGCACAAACTCGCGGCCGGCCACACTCCTGTAACACGAACACAGGCTTGTAACACGGCCACACTCCTGTAACACGCACTGACGGCCACACTGCCGGCCACACGGCCTCACAAACACACTACCGGCCACACGGTCTCACACACTCACTCACTGCGCGGCGCTGCTCACGAGCTGAGCTCGGGCGTGGCCTCCACCGCCTCGGTCACCGACTGCGGGCTGCTGTGCGACACGCCAGCAGGCACCTCGGGGAACTTCGCCGCGCCGGTGCTGACGCCGACCGAGGGCTCGTCCGCAGCAGAGTACGCGTGCGAGCCCACGGTGGAGCCCGCGGTTCTGGTGGGGAGCTTCGACTGCACGAACGCGCCCACGGGGCCCGTCTTCTTGGCCAACGCCTCCAACCGCGGCGCGATTCTGCTCTTGGCACACGCCGTGTACTCCGCGGTGCGCTCCTTGGCCATCTTCGTGTACTGCGCCACGGCCGCGTCCACGTTCTTCTTGTTGGTCTGGTACACGTAGGGCACGGAGAACGCCAAGAGCACCGTGGCGAACACGAGCGCGTACACGGAGAACCACGACGTCAACTTGTACATCATGTACGACACTAGCGCGGCCTTGACCGTGGACTCGATGTTTTGCGCGTACACCACGCGGTGGAACTCGGCCTCGAGCGCCTCGGCGGCGTTGCCCACCGCGGGCAACACCGACTCTTTGAAGGCGCCGGCCCTCTTCTGGGGCGTGCCGATGTACTTCTGCACAAAGCCCTGGCCGGTCAAGATACGCCCGGCGTACTCGCTTCCGGCGGCAGCAAAAAGCGCCAAGTACAGCAAGTGGAACACGTGATTGACCACGTTGACTTTGGCCAACACCAATGCGGCCACAATGGCCCCGAACACCTTGCCGGTGGCCACCGGGTCTTTCCAGGTGAGCAAGGAGCAAACACAAGATTGCGAGGGCACGGCGGGTAACGACGAGGAGCTGGACATGAGGGGCTTAAAAAAAGGGGGAGAAATAAAGCCGGGGGTTCCTGGGGGTACAAACACGGGGCCGGGAAGAAGCAGGTACTATTTTCGGGGGGTTTCACGGATTCTTGTTGAAACAATTGAATAAATAGTATGGTCTAGGGCAAAAGAGATCAGGGGGGTAGGGACAGAAAAAGCGAGCGGGCGAAAAAAGGGCACGACACTTGTAGGAAGGTGCGGGTGCGCTAAGCACCACGCGACCGCACCGCGAGGCTGGGATCTGAGCGCCATTTTCCAAAACGGGCCGTTTTGCTCTCCTTGTATTTTTTTTTTTTTTACTATCGCGGGCTTTCTGCTCTTTTCGGGCTCTCAGACTGTCTCTGGAAATGAAGAAACATCCGCTTTTTTGCAGAAATGCACGGTTCTGGTGGGGGTGAATATGGGCCCTATTGATGCCGGCCCGTTTATTAGCCGGCCGGTCGCGCGACTCTAGCAAGAGTCGATAGCAAACCGCGTTTTATGGTTGCGACTTGCTATCTATATTTAGCGGAGGGCACAGTGGAAATCCGCCCGAGACATCATTGGCAGATGGCGCATGGATCCGAACTGTTCAGCCCAGGGCCTCGGGTGAGTGGAGAGGGCTCTTCTATCCTTTGTTGTTTCAGCGGTGTTTCACGTCCGTTTCAGGGCCCAGCTCTGCATTCCGGCGACGGAAGCAAGAAGGCTCGAAACTGAGTAGGTATTTAGTGCTTGCTGGACTCAGGATTGCGCATCGGGAATTCTTCGATGACGAAGTCCAGAATTAGGGCCAATTAACGTTTCCTAATCTGAAAAGTGGTGGTGGCTATTTTTTTCCGAACATACCCCACACGACGGGTTCTCGGAGTATTGGGCTTTCACTTTCAGAAGCCACCTTTTGTTTGATCATACTGGCCCATTGAGTCCTATTTATACCGGATGATCAAGTAGTGGCCGCAGACATGCCCTGTGTATTTTCCCATGGCCGGCCGGACCTTCTCGGGATGTCCCGGAAATATGCACCTGCTGCAGATTCGCTCATATCTACCAGTCTGATGTCACGGCCAGTAGTCTATGTTTCACTTTAGTCATGTTTCACCTTAGTGATGCTTCACCTCTCAGTGATGTTTCACCTTAGTGATATTTCACCTCAGACATGTTTTACCTCAGTCATGTTTCACCTCTCAGGTCCAGGACGTCGCAAGCGTCTCAGACAGCATAAGCTCATCGAAACACTTTGCTGGTCAGCCGGCACTGAACTCGGTCTCCTGAAGCATTTCCATAGTCTGCGTAAACGCAAAGTCGTACTCGTCGATGATATCCTGGTGACTGCAACTGGACCGAGGCTGTTTCAGGTTCCCACGTCTCAGCGCCTCGTGCCCTCCCAACCGAAACATGTCTGCCACCTTTGCAACTCGGGGCATTCCGTATTTCTCTGCAAAAGTGGAAATCAGTTTCTTTCGTGATGGCAGACTTGGCTTTGTGAGTGAAGCATGTTCGGCCTTTCTTTGCATTTTCATTTCCTGATATTTGTGTAGGTTCGTCTCGCCTATCAAGGCTTCGTATTTGGATCCAATAGCTCGTACACAGGCCGCCACAATCAAAGGCAATGTTGCTCTGACTGAATCACTCAATTGAGTGGTATCTGTCAAGAGCTTGACCAGGCTCTCTGAGATCTTGTGCTCTGTTTCTATGAGCATGCCTTCGGCCCTGCTTAATTTCGAAATCACCCGAGATATGTCATCGTGGCTATTCTCTGACGCCTCGAGCTCCCTCGTGCATTTCTCTGCGTAGCTTTCAACTGCATAACCGTAGTTCTTGCTGGCAAGAGCTTGTTTCCAGAAACCAGCGAAGTCCAATTTGGTGTAGAGAAGACGCGTGAAGCAAAGCTGGAACTCCTGGAGCACACCACGCAACTTGCTCATGTCTGATCTTATTTTTCTCAAATGTCTCAAGTTCTCTGCAGCAATCTGCTGTGTTTTATGAGTGACATCGCCTGCAGCAAACGAATTGGTAATGTTAGTTTCGGTTCCATCTGGGACCCTCTCGATAGTAAAATCTTGAAACGACGCTACTTCTGATAATTTGAAGTCTTTGAGTTGCATGATTCGGTTAATCTTCATCAAGGCAATTGTGTTACTGAAAGACTCGTCTTCCAGAAGCATTGTCTCCTGTCTAGCACTTTTGATATATAAGGCAAGCAGCTCGACAAGGTGACCTAGTAAAACGATCTGTGAGTTTTCATTCAAAGATGCTTCGGAGTCCATGTACCCGTAGAAGGTGCCCATAATTCTCGAAATGACTTCTCGGAACTTACTTTGGTTGAAAAGCATATTGTTCATCATAGTGAATACCGGTACTTCTTCTTGCGCCCCTGCTTTAGCGATCACGTCTGAACATTTTGCAATGGCTTCCAAAAAATGCCCGAAAGCCAGGACTGCAACCGTGATGTCATGTCTTTGGATTTCTGTTATTTGTGAAGAAGCTATACTCCGCTCATTGTTCTGAATACGCCGGGCATTTTTCTCAACCTGAGTCAAGATACGGCGTAAGTTTTCGAAGGCTCTTTCGTGTAGATCCATTGTATTATGTTTGTTCATATAAGTTTCGGGAAAGAAAAAGTCAAGAACAAGTATTCTGATATAAATTCGGCTCTATAAATCTGTAACAAACCTCTGTTTCAGATAGGTTGCAAATTCCGGTGCACGGGTGTGCAGCATAGGTCCAGCCTTAGCAGATTTCATAATCCATGGCCCCGCGCCCCAAATACTCACATATCACCTTGAATCTATCATCCGACTCATCAAGCTTCATCTTGAATGTATCGTACTCAGTATTTGCTCGATGTCGATTTTCACGAATCGCTTGGACATTTTGAATTTCACTAGCGCACAATGGACAACGTGGGTCGCTGGACGAATTGTTAGTATCTGGAATGTAGGTGTTTTCGCTTAAGCAGCGCTGGTGATGGGAGTGCTTGCACTTAAAATGTATCAGTGGAAATTCTAGCTTGAGCTCACAGCTCGAACATAAATCGTTCTGTAGCATGAATGGCTGTGATTGTAGCTCGCTTAATTTCACATTATAAGACGTGGATTCAGCTTCGTATAGCTCGATGAGCTTCTCGTTATTTTTAATTTCTTTGTTGACATTGCCGAAGTAGTCGATCAAGTAATCTTTTACTATGCCAACAGATGAGCACTCATTTGAGCTGAGGATCTTAAGAACTTCAAGAGGCGTGGCGAGCTTATGTTGGGTGATCTTATCAAGTAGATACTGAAAATCCTTGCGCGAGGCCTTCTGAAAGATCTCCTTAGACGAAGCTACAAACCTGAGCATTTTTGTGTAAAAAGCTGGCTTGCTTTCGCCAAACTCTCTCACAATCTGGAACGCCTTGTCGATGTCGCCATTGTTCTGGGCAAACCTAAATGCGTTTTCATCAGCACCCGCGACCTTTGCCTTAACGAAAACGTCATTTATCTGCAAGCCATACATATGGGCGATCATCAATGCCTTTGTTTTATCGATCATTTCGACTTGTTCTTCGAGGAAACTTGTGGCTTTCCCCGCCCAAAGTTCGTTTTCGTCGGTTTGTTCTGCTGAAATTGAGCAATACATTTCAAAGAGGGTCATGATCAAATCCTCCCTTTCCTGGGTGCTGCCCTGGTACATTTCGAAAGTTTCGTGGCACGCCTCAAGGAATACCACAAACTCTCTGGAATGATCAATGAAGCATGAGTAGACCAAGCTGGGGCGAGGGGGCAAATATGTGGGTTCTTGGACAGTAGTTTCTTCCAGCGCAGACTCTATGTCGTCTTGCTTCAAGGTATTGGAGAGGTACCCAAGTATGGCAGTATAGGAAGGGACGTAGGATGATGTTTCCTCCACGTTTTTCTCAGGAGGGTCCTCAGGGAGAATTTTGTCTGAGGAAAAGAGCGAGTGGGTGGCGGCAGGCCGGTATTTCCCCGTGAACACGTCGATGAGAAGCTTCGTGGTCTCGAGCGGCATGACATCGAGCAATTTCTTCAGGTAGTCGATGAGGATGGCGAGAAGCTCATTGACCGGAAGCGTCTGAATGTAGGACAAGCACGCTGGGTAGTCGTGCAAATCGTTCAACTGGACCTCAGCAATCACGCGCGGGTGGTTGAGCTTGTACAAGAGCAAGATGGCCTGGGAAAAGTAGCCGCACTCCCGGAGTAAGTTCACAACGAGCAGAAAGTTGAGCTTGCCAGAGTCCGGGAGCGGCGCGCCCAGGTCGGGGCCCAAGTCGAAGCCTGCGATGAAGGCATCAAGCTCGGGGGCCATGTTCAACTTGCAGTAGCAACAGAGCAACAACGTCAAGTGGTCGCCGTCGGCGAGGCGCAACTCGTGGAGGCGGGCCAAGAACGTGGTCATGTGATGGATGTGCGAGACCGCCTTGAAGCGGGTGACCACGTCAATGACGAAGTCGTCCAAGCCGTCGCGCACCGGGCCCGCGGGCGAGCCGGCAAAGCTCGCCAAGCAGTCGCAGTATTTCTGCGTGGCGGACGCGTAGTCCAGCTTGTCGCAAAGGCTCTCTGCGTGGAGCCGGTTGATGCGCAAGATGGTGGCCGCGTCCAAGCCGTGCTGCTGGGCAAGGGCAAGGGCGATTGGGTAGAGCTGCCGCTGGAGCACGGCCTCGACCTGCTGGTTGAGCGGTTTTTCCGCGAGCCGGTAAAGCACGCCGTCCGTGGCGAGCACATAGGCCTCGCGGCCGGCGGCGGCGGGGAACACGTGCGCCACGGCCAGCCCCGGGAGCGCGAGGCTGAAGGCCACGTGCGTGTTGCGCATGTCCAAGATGAGCACACGCGCGGGTTTCGCCGCGCCCAGCGGGGCGTCGGCGGGCGGGCAAACGACCAACAAGTAGTCGCGGAAGAGCCGGAGGAGCTGCCGCTTGGGCACGGCGAACGCCACCAGCTGCGCGCGGCCCACGGGGCTGTAGTACGCGAAGCCGTCCAGGGACGCCACAAGGAGCCGCGAGTCGCGCGCGTCGAGCGCCATGGCGCCCACGGCGGCCCCCGTGTCCGTGGAGAGCACGCGGAGCGGCTGGCCGCGGTTGCGGCCCGAGGCCAGAAGCGTGAACACGCGCGAGGTCGTGGCCACGTACAAAAGCTCATCCGAGCGGTGGAACGCCACGCCCGTCACGGGGTCCGCGCCCGCGTACACGAGCCGCTGCTTGGCGCCGCGGTCGCGGAGCAACTCGCCGCGCACGAGCACCACGCTGCCGGCGGCGGAGCCCACGGCCACGCACGTGAGGCTGTCGTTGAACAGAACGGCGCTGAGCGGCGCGCCGCCGCCGCCGGCCTGTATGCGGACCTCGGCAATGTACCGGTGGCGCATGGCGTCTGCGTCCGCGGCCGCCGCGGCGTCCAAGCCCGCGACTTTGTGGAGGTCCCACACCTTTAAGACGGCGGGCGCGCCGTGTTTCTCTGCCACGGTGACCACGATCGCCAGGCGCGGCACGGGGCGCAAGAACGTGAGCGTGTACTCCGGAGCGTACGCGGAAAACCGCTGCACGGGCTCGAACAGCGTTCTGTCGAGGAGCGTGACGTGGCTGCCGGCGGCAAAAACAAGCCAGTCTTGGACGGCGGCTATGGCCGTGAGCTGCGGGTCGGAGAAGAGCGGCTCGGCGGAGCGGAAGCGCGGGTCGCGCACGGGCACAAAGTCAAAGAGCTGGAGCTGCCGCCACGTGGCGGGGAGCGACATGGGGGAGGGGTGTGGTGGGGAAATGAAGAGACGAGGAAGAAAAAGAGGTGGTTTTGGGGTGGTTTTTGGATCTGGCGCGAGGCGCGAGGGGTGGCCGGGATGCACGGGTGTCGGCGGGAAACCTGGGGTAGGGGCATATGAAGTATGAATGTTTGGATGTTTCGAGGTGAGCGTTAATGGAAGCATGAAGGGTGGGTTTGAATGTGCATTAGTGTTCAGTATGAATGGTAGTATGAATGGTCGTATGAATGTTGCATTAATGTTTAGTAGGAATGGTAAGTATGAATGAATGGTTAGTGTGAGAGTTAAGTATGAATGTTTAGTGGAGTTGTTGAAAGTGAGCAAGATTGAAAGTGAGCAAGATTGAAAGTGAGCAAGATTGAAAGTGAGCAAGATTGAAAGTGAGCAAAATTGAAAGTGAGCAAGATTGAAAGTGAGCAAAATTGAAAGTGAGCAAGATTGCAAGCATGAATTTTAAGTATGAATAGCTAGTACTAGTGTTCAGTATGAATGTTAAGTGGGATGTTTCGAAGTGAGCATTATCGGAAGCGAGAATGTTTCGTGTAACGCGTAGTGTGAATGTTCGCTGTGAAGGTTTAGCCCATACTTAGTATGAGCGCTGCATAACGTTATGAAAGTTTGATTAATATTTAGTATGAACGTTGCATTAATGTTCAATATAAATGTTTAGTATGAACGTTGCTTCAATGTTCAATGAATGGTTAGCATTTATATTCAGTATGGATATTGCATTAATGTTCGGTATGAATGTTGGACGATTGTTCAGTACAAATAGTTAGTATGAATGAATGGCTAGTATGAATGAATGGTGAGTATCAATGAATGGTGAGTATCATTGAATGGCTAGTACAAGTGATTAGCATGAATGTTTAGTGGTGCTGTTTAAAGTGAGCAATATCGGAAGCATGAATGTTCATAATGATCAGTCAGGATTAGTGTTTCGTATGAATTAGTTGTTCGAATTGAGCAATATTGAGCAATATCAGAAGCATGGATGTTCAGTATGGATATTCTAACGCGATAAATACTGAACGGATAAATGTCAAGTATAGATGTTAAGGACGAATGAATGTACGAATGCGTGACCGAAAAGAGGCTTATGCTTGAATTTTCATCAGCCTTGTGGCTTTGGATTAGAAAGCGTCGACGCATCCGCCCGAAGGTCTCGTCCAGTATTCTTGAAACTTCTTCAGATGTAGCTATTCTTGATGCAGCGTTACTCTGACTGTGTTGTTTATCTCCTGGCAATCAAAGTGTTGGCTAGTCCAAAGTTCGTTGAGTTGGCAGCCAAAGAAACAGACAACAATATCAAAATCACAAGTTTGGGGTAAATCAACCAGTAGTGCATGCAAATCACCCTGGTCTCTTGCATTGGTTTTGGACATTCAGGTCTCTATCCACTCAGGAAGTTGGCCGTAAATCGCTTAAGGTCACTCCGGTTAATTGGCAGCAGAAATGTTGAGGATGTTGTCAAATTGTATATTAAGCAGAAATATTGAGAATGAATTTAAGTATGAATGCTTACTCTGAATGTAAGTGATCTTTGGTATCATTGTTTGGGACTCGGGCTGTGTGGAAGAATTACTGTAGTACAATGGGAAAGTGCTACATCATGGCGCGGGCCTAGTATTCTGTTGGTATTATGCGAGGAACATAAATATGAAATCGTCAATGGAAATGTGATTTGATGGCTGTTTGGCTCATAGTCTTGAAGCACCATAACCAATATTTCAGTAAATCGCACATTCGGCTCTTGGAAAACGGGACAGTTGGCGATGGCGTATGGAATACACCATGAGTGATGGTCTTGTGTTCTGAGAACAGTTGGTCTGAGCATGATGATACTAACAAGATAATTTACCAGTTATGAGGCTCGCTATCTTCCTCAAGATAAGCATTCAGAAAGACAAACATGGGCAGTCACTATCGATGTCATTTCCAAGTAACTCAAAAGAGGGTTAGACTTGTGGCACTGCTGAGATATTCCATCATCTCCGGCTGTGTGCTTGTGAAATTCATAACATGACACCGGTTTGTTCCTAGGAGTCCGAGTACTATCTGGTGTTGCCAAACCCTCTAGCCATTTCGAGACAGGATGCGCTTCGGAGTTCCATCAATACCGACCTTGAGATTTGGCCTATAGTTTGCCCCGATTTCTTAGATTGAAAAGCTGGGCCGATTCGAGTCCCAAGTCTTCTCAAATTGTGTTCAACAGTCGTTATGATGGCAAGACGCCTGAGAGCGCACGGCCAGAATGTGACCACTTTGAAGACAAAAAGCTACTACATATCGCTACTCTCACATATCTGAAGTTTAAAAGTACCCTCAGGATATTTTCCTCGAGACGTCCAATTATTTGCTTCACCTCATAAAACAGTTTGTACCGAGCCTCTGTTTTTCTGAAGAAAATAATGCACTTCAGTCTGAAGCCTGCTGCTCAATTGGTATACAAATTCTACTAAGTGGTCCGAACTCATGTAGGGCCTTCGAATACTGGCAGAAAGCTACTAGCATTTTCAAAGCAGAATCTGACACGCTGAGGGGATCTAACTTGGGGCCCCTCAATGGAAGAGATCGTTGTATTGGATAATTTGCCGTTAAATCACCGTTGGAAACTCTTCTGTGCACATTGCATTGTTTGAAAGACGGTCTCTCAGAAAAGTCAGAAGCAGGCATCTCCAAGAGCAACGTTCAATAAAGACATCTAGGATGTCAAAGGTTTAGGGCTCAAAAATTTAATGCGAGTCTATACGAACAAGATTACGACCGTACTCGTCCTTTGCTTAAAACAAGATATCTAACCAAACAACGTGCTTGCACTGCCGGTCATCTACGAGCATAAAAACAAATACCTCCCATACCCAGTCTACCGACCATGTGCCCGTTTGAGCTCCTGGGCCGTGAACTGGATGTAGTCACTGGCCTGCCAGAGATAACTGTCCATATGCATGAACGGGTGGGGCACCCCTGGATATCTCTTGAACACCACTTCGTTTCCGGTCTTGATCAACTTGGCCGCGTAGGCCTCGCCCTCGTCTCGCATGGGATCGCAGCCTGCAGTGACCACGACGGTTTTGGGCAAGACGGCGAAATCCGGCGCAAGCATGACGTTTTTGAACCAGCCGATTTTCTCAAGTTGGCGGGCTCGTTCGGTTGCGTCGGTCGGCAACGTCTGCCACTTGAGCTTGTCGAAGTACGTTATGCGTGACCAGTTCAAAGTGGGTGCAAACTCGAATTCCCGTACTGACTCATACGGCGAGTCCTGGGCCGATTTATAGGACTCCACGTCGTCGACCTGAGGCGTGCCGGCAAGACAAAGCACAAGCGGGATCTGGGCGTCACGTGCCAAGTGCGATACGATCAACGCCACGTTGCCCCCTACAGACACCCCGCCAACAGAGATCAGGTCTTTCGAGAAGTTCAAGGAGGCGGCGTTCTCGTATACAAACTTGGTGGCCCAAAAGCAGTCCTGGATGTACGTTGGATATGGGTAATCGGGCACTAGGCGATAGTCGACATCGACCACGGCAACACGGGCCAACTGCACATAGTGGCAGAGCACGTGCTTTTCTGTTTCCAAGTCGCCGAGTCCTCCTCCGCCCCCATGGAAATCTATGTGGACCGGCAAGAAGTCGTCTGCGGCAGCGTCGTTGGGCCTGTATATGCGCAACTTGACCGGGGCCCCATCAAAAGACAAAAAAGAGATTTCCGACACATTTTCAATGTGTGGGTACGCGCCGGTGCCGTAGGAGTAGATTTTAGAGTAGTTGGCCCGGAGCTTGTGGAGGTCGATGGGAGCGTTTGGGATTTTCGCCACGTGCTCGTTGTACATGGCCACGAAAACAGGGTCCATTTTCGCCAAAACGGCCGGGTGGATGGGGTTCAAGGCTTCATGCGTCGATGCCATTTTTTTTTTTGGGTGAGAAAACGAAGTGCCTTTGAGGACAGGCGTGGCTGGGTATAAGTAGTGGAGCGTTCCGACGCCCGGCGGAATTTAGCCCGGGCGGCATCTCATGCATCGGCGACTTTTCGCGCGATTGCGCCGGTACGCGATAAGATAATGCAGTGCGATAGCTGCAGCATCAACTGCTATATAAGCGAGCCGCACCCCACCACCAGCACCCCGAAAACACAGCCAGCCATCAGCCATGACCCTCGGAAACAAGCAAATACTTATCAGCGGCGCCGGCATAGTGGGTCTTTTGGCTGCACAGGCACTCAAAGCACGTGGCGTGGATTTCGTCATCTTCGACCGCGACCGCGACGTGCATTTCCGAGAAGATGCCGGCTGGGCCATCACGTTGCACTGGGCTCTCGACACGTTTCTCAGTCTCCTCCCTGAAAACCTTGCTTCCGAGATCTATGAGGCCCAAGTGCGCAAAGATTTCCATCTCTGCGACACCGGCACCTTCAGGTACATCAACGCTTCTGATGGCAGCACCATACTATCCATCCCACCTTCACAGCGCTTGCGGGTAAGAAGAGAGCAAATCCGGCGCATTCTCTTGAAAGGCATTGATGTGCACTGGAACTGCAAACTCACACGGGTGGCACACCTAAAATGCGGGCGTGTGGTGGCCCAGTGTGAGTCCGGCCGCGAATTCCAGGGCGACGTGCTCTTGGGCTGTGACGGGGCCAATTCCCAGATTAGGAGGCTTTTTTGCGGAGACGCCGGCAGGCTTGAAGTCCTCCCTGTGCGTTTCTGCGGGGCCAAGGTCAAAATATCCCGGGCCGAAGAGGCACACTTGGCTCGGCAATTCGACCCGCTTCTTTTCCAGGGGACGGTGCCGGAAAACGAGACGTTTTTCTGGTTCTCCATGCTCTCGACGCCAGACTACACCTTGGAGGAAGACGGCTATTTTGCACAGGTGAACCTTTCGTGGAAAATCAGGGGCCAGTCGGACGAGCCCTTTGGCTCAGCCACGGAAAAGGCTGACGCCATGCTTGCACATGCCAGGGGGCTCCACCCCCAGCTTCACCAGCTCGTTGCTCGGGCCGCCAAAAGCCCGGAAAACCTAGTGGAAATCAAGCTAGCTGACTGGCCCGAAGTGCGGTGGGACACGCACCAGGGCTCGGTTGTATTGCTAGGCGACGTGGCACACGCCATGACAATGTACCGGGGCGAAGCTGCCAATCATGGGATAGCAGATGTGGCGGACTTCATTGGCCAGACCGACCGGTATCTCAAAGGAGACATTCCGTGGGCGGACGCCGTGTCAAACTACTGCGAGCAGGTATATCTGAGAGCACAAGAGGCGGTTCTTTTGTCGAGGCAGGCGTGTCTCGATGCGCATGACATGTCCAAAATCACAGCCGGCTCGGCGTCGCCCTTACTTACCAAAAGAAAAATATCCTGAGGCCAGCTTGTTCTGGGGAGATAGGGTGACAGTTCAAAAGGCCACGCCAAGCATGGAGTATCAGGTGAGAGCGCAAAATGGTGATAGCCCCCAATTGGGAGCTCTTGGGTATCCCGGGCTCAGGTATCTGAAGCTCTTGGGCACCTGGAGCTCTCGGATGTCCGGAGTTCTTTGGTATTTGAAGCTCTTCGGTAATGAAGCTCTTGGATATTGGAAGCTCTTGGGTATCTGGAGCTTTTCGGTATTTGAAGCTCTTCGGTAATTGAAGCTCCTAGGCATATGGGCTCTTAAGTATCTGGGCTTTCAGTTATCTGGGCTCTTAGGTATTCGAAGCTCTTAAGTATTCGAAGCTCTTAGGTGTCTGGTGCGGCTTCTCCATTTTGGTTTGTCTTGATGGCCTCCAGACTAGTGCATTGCCACGCCCGACCTAAAACAAAACAAGTTTTCAGATAGTGGTCTGTGCGGAAAGGCTCGAAAATCACAGATGCTGCAAATTAGAACTTGAATCTCTAGCGTAAAATATCAACCCGATTCTCTTACACTGCCTCTGGCCTCTTCCACCTCGACTCCCCGGAAACTGTATCCACGGCCAGGTGCATACATCCAGTTCTACAGTCTAATAAACAAAGACTTTTTGAAAAAATAAGCATATAGCCTTTGAAGGCCCCATGTCATCCATGATGGTGCTTGCATCCCTGGTCATGTGACTGTGAGCAGAGCCTGCTACCTCAACTAAACCCACGCGCAACTATACATCCAGTCAGTACCACCGATGCCCACCAAGAAAACGTCATGTGACCGATGCCACCGGCGCAAGGAGCTGTGCATAGGGCAGCCGTGCCAGCGGTGCCAGAAAGACGGCGTCACGTGCGAGACCAACCGGCTAATAAAGAAATTGGGCCGGCCGAAGGAGGCCCAAAGAAGGCCGGTGCGCCGCAAGTATAGTCGTCATGGGTGCATGCCTTGCCGAACACAGAAAAAGAAATGCGACGAGCAGCGTCCCAGCTGTGGCCGGTGCCTAGAAAAGAACCGCTGCTGCGCATATGGCACGAAGGCCCCCGAAGCGGATGTTTCCACCATCTCAAAGATCCGGGCGGAATTCGAGGAAAAGTCGCCGAAACTCGAGTTTGTCTCTGAAGATAGCCACAGATGCCAAGCAGACTCGCTCCAGGCAACAGAATTCGGCAATGCTGGAACTGGTCTGAGCTCGGTGCAAAACGAACGTGTTTCAGCGGTGTTTTCGCGTGTTGAATCCGACTGCTTGGACGCCTCGGCCCTGGCCATCAACCTAGCCCCAGTCCACTCACCCTTCTGCAACACCACAGGCGTGCACATGCTCTTGGCGGCGGCCTTGCCCCAGCATGAGCTGGCAATGACGCCGCAGACATTCTTCAACGCCATTGAGCAGCTGTTTTTCGAGTGTCTCCAGAACAAGACCCAGGGCACCGAAACAGCATCTGCATACTCCTCGCCGGCTGAGCTATCGAGCGACCAGTACCGGGAACAGAAGCACGACCTTTTGCAACTCTGCTCGTTGAACGCGTTTGGCATCCCGGCAAAAGAAAGCGAGCTCCTATGTTACTTCATCAGCGATGTGTCCATGCTTTTATTTGCCGACAAGACCACGCCGCGGTTTCTTGCCACGGTGATTCCCATGTGCCTAGAAGACGAGCGTGTGCGATTTTCGATTCTTGCCATTGCAAGCGCACATCGGCATAACGGCCACGGGTCTCACAAGCACGAACTGATGAGAGACGCGGTCCGGTTCCGCGCCATGGCCCAGTTCTGCCTTGCGGGCCAGAACCAGGGCTTCTACGACGACACGGAAAACGTGCTCCTCAGCATTTGCCTCGTTGCAATCCACGAGATTTTCGAAGGCACGTCGCTCTACTGGAACTGTGCCCTCGAAAAGGGAGCCGAGATCATCCGGGTGCGAGGAGGACTACAGAAAGTATCGCGGCTGTCGCCATTGTCCATCCAGCTTTTCTGCTACCTTGACCACATCTCGTCACTCAGCACGTGCGTCATGCCGTACGTGGACCGCTTGAAAAACAACCCCTACCATAACTACAACGGCAATCAGGTGGAGGACATTTTGAACTGCAAGTTTGGCTTCCGCTTCGGCATTGCCGGCGAGCTTTTCAAGATCATGGGTAACATATCCACCTTGGCCAGTCTCCGAAAAGACCGCCACAGCACGCCCGAGCATGGCCGCCAGTTTGACCGCCTTGCCAATATGATTGAAATGGAGCTCCAAAACTGGGCCCCTTCGCTACGCGACGTCAGCGACAACTTCAGGATTGACGGCACTGCAGACTCAGGCAGACTGACCATCTCGTCGTATTTGGTGGCCGTGCAGTGGGCGTGCTTTCTACGGCTACATCAGATTATTGTTGGCTACGACCGCAGGGACTCGCGGATCACGGCCTGTCTATCGATTCTTTTGGAGTCGCTCAAATCGATTCTGGAGGATACGGAAATTGAGACGGGGCTTATGTTTCCCCTTGTCATGGCTGGGCTGGTGTGTGTGGAGAGCCATGACCGTGAATACATCTCATCCCGGATCCAGGCCATCCAAGATAAGTTGCGGTTCAACTATATAGGCGAGTTTCAGAGGCTTTTACATGCGGTGTGGGCTCAAGATGCAGACGCGGGCGACGCAGTCAACTGGGCGCTGATCCGCTACTACGAATTTCCTGGGCTCGTCATGTTCTAAGAGAATGAGAGAACTTTGTGGTTCGTTCTTTTCTGCACTGCGCGCGGAAACTCTCCGAACCGGTGGGATATTTTATTTGCGCGGCGCTCGCGATAAGCACCGGCGACTTTCGGCACATTCCGCCACCTTGACAATGCGCTTAAAGGCGCTGATCCCAGCCCCTGTGGCACCAGCATCCAGCAAAAAGCAACCCGCCGATTATGACTTCTGATCTGTGGAAACCGCTTACTGTGGCTGTTTTAGGAGGCGGTCTCGGAGGTCTTTCTGCTGCCATTGCAATGAGACGGGCCGGCCATAATGTGTCCATTTACGAAAGAAACGACTACGCTGGCGAAGTTGGCGCGTCGCTCTCGTGTGCCTCAAATGGCGGGCGCTGGCTTCATGACTGGGGTGTGGATCCCTATGAGGCCAATCCAGTCATCTTGAAAAACTTGATCAGACACGACTGGAAGTCGGGCAAGATCACGGGCAAATATTCCCTCGGAGACTACCAGGCCAAGTTTGGGTTTCCGTACTACAACTTCCACAGGATTGATATCCACACTGTCCTTCACAAGTATGCGGTGTCCGAAGATGGGGTGGGCACGCCCTGTGAGCTCCATGTCAACCACAAGGCTATAAAAGTGGACTACGAAGCTGGTCATGTTGAGTTTGAAAATGGCAGCCAGTGCACCGCAGATTTGATCATTGCTGCTGACGGCATCAGATCCTTGACCAAGCCTCAATTGGGCATCTCCCCGAAGTTTCGCCATCAGGACTCGTCGTGTATCCGTGTTTTGTTCGACACCAAGAAAGTGCAGGAGCTTGGACTTGCGGATTTCCTGGAGAACGAGGCAATTGAGTTCTGGGGCGGAGACGATAAAAACAAGATAGTGTTGTCGCCCTGTGCAGACAAACGCGTGGTATCATGCTACTGCTTTTATGCGGCTAGCCCAGAGGATGTGAAAGATGGTTGGCACAATGAAATCCTGGTGCAGCAGCTCCTTGATACAGTACCCCACTTGGATCCCAGGCTAGTGGAGCTCTTCACTACTTGTGGCTATGATATCAAACAGTGGCGTTTGTATGTGCACGAGCCACTTCCGTTTTTTTACAAGTCCAGTGCCAATGGCTCGCGGGGAGTGGCATTATTGGGCGATGCGGCACATGCTATGATGCCTGATCAATCGCAGGGCGCATGTGCCGCTTTTGAGGATGCGGGCGCTTTGGGCTACATTTTCTCCGAGAAATTCCATTTGAGTGTTGCTGAGGGCTTGAGAGTCTACGAACAGGAGAGGAAGCCGCGTGTGACGAGAATCCAGAAGGCTTCCTTGAGGGCTCGGGAAAATTTGAACGAGAGAATAGGATGGAGCTCTGGCGCGTCGGACATCGAAACTGCACAAAAATTGACAATTGAAGAGGTGTGTGGCTACGACATGAAGGGGCATATTGATGATTTGGTGGCTGCCTTGTGAAGCATGAGAAGATCAATCAAGGCTTGTATGCTCTGGGGTGAGACCAACCAATATTCTTTGTTTGCCTTGTTTCTTAGAGTATTTAGAATGAATTGAGTACTGCCAAGACTGCAATCACAATAAGTTTATTCTAGCATAGAAGAAATAAAGAGCTCTTGGCAGGGAGCTCTGTCATTTGCAGAGATAAAAGCAGAAGGTGCCAAAACTCATTCAGGAATTAGAGGTGCCGGGTGGATTTTTCAGAAACACTCGCACTCGAGTCATGCTACAGATTTTGAAAGTTTTTGACCTAGTATTGTCAAGAGCTGTTCTAGATCAAAAACTGCTTACGTGCCACATCTCGATCTCCAACCAGAAGGCAGAATATCATGCCTTCAAAATATACTCGAAACAGACATGCGTCAGCTCCATCTATACTAAAGAATCGATTGCAACCAACTGCTTTGCTAAATCAAGCACACATGTTTCCAAGGCCCGGTAAGACACGCCTAGCATCTTCACACCCTTGCTAGAATTGGTTGTATAGTGAGAGCCCTTAATCCGACTGCCCGGATTACCAACAGGGACTGTTTTTGTAATTTTCAGTGGAAGATTTTCCCGTAAAATGTCAGCGATTTCTTGGTTGTCGTAGTCCCCAGCCGAGATCAAAAACCGCTGGTTGGCAGCATTCGGTGCACTCAAAGCCTTCACATGGTACTCGGCCAAATCACGCACATCCACCCAGACGGGATTTTTTGTTGGCGGTACTTGGCCAGAGCCTTTCAAAAGACCCCAGACCACCTGGTTGCTGAAATTCAATTCCTGGGTTCCGGAAATCAAAGATGGAGAAAATAGAGGGCCAAACACCATGGTGGGACATAACACTGTCAAGGAGAAGTTTGGCTTGTGTTGCTCCATATATTTCCAGGCGGCATTTTCGGCCACTGTCTTGGATGCGCGATATGCCACGGCTGGATTTTTGGTGGTGGCCCCGTCTTGCCAAGTCAATGGACTGAAATCGGTTTCATCTAGAACCACGCCTGGCTGGTCGCCCTTACTGGCATCGTAAACCGCCGCAAAAGACGACGTGATAACCACTCGATTCACAGAAGCATTTGCCAGGGCTGCCTTTAAAACCGCCTTGGTGCCTTGCAAGGCCGGCAAAAGAAGATCGTCGACAAAACTGGCGACTTCAAAAGTGAACGGTGATGCCAAATGAAGCACACCCGTGCACTCGGCCATGAGGGTCGCCAATTCCAGGGCATTGGTGATATCTGAGCCGAAGGCCGGCTCGAGAAATGACCGCCTGGTTTCAGGTACACACCTCGCCAAACGGTCAAATTTTTCTTTGCTTCTACAGTAGGCTTTTACCCGGTAATTTTGGAGCAATAAAAGGCCCACGCAATGGGCGCCAATGAAGCCTGTTGCGCCCGTGACAAAAACAGTTTCATCCACAGTCATGGAGATTATTAATCAGGGGAATTTGAAAAAAAAAGGAACACGCAGAAGCCAAGAGAAACTTGGATTGTGCTTTATCACGAAATAAGACCGCGTCGCAAGAGGCCGAAAGTCGCCGGCGGAAACGAGCGTGGCGCAAGAGGCGGAAAGTCGCCGGCGCGGCACAGCCGCCTAAATTCCGCCGCCGTTGCAGCAAGCCTCTTTCGATGCAGGCGATAGCGATAAGGAACCATTACAGGTGGTCGTATAAGTGGGGCCCAGTGTCGCTGGAAACTGGAGAGACAGACTCATCAAACTTAAAGCAATAGAGGAAAAGACACTATTATAGCACAAACGTACTCTAACACAAGAACCAGCTCCCACCTCCCTTGTGTTTGTCTCAAAACAGTTGAAAATGCTGAGCCAGAAAACACCGTACGTCACCGACGTCCAGAGCCTTGAAAGCTCGACGCCTGAAGCCATCACATACATTGGCAACAAGAACTTGGACTATATCCAGGACTTTGACCATGAGGCTCATCCAGAAGAAGTCTCCTCTGACACTGTCATTCGGAAAATGGATAAAGTGCTTGTGTTTCCGATGCTCGTGGTGTACCTTTTGCAGTTCCTCGATAAGGTGGTGCTCAATTACTCCAATGTCATGGGCATGCCCACGGATCTAAACTTCACAGGTAACCAGTTTTCAGACCTTGCCACGTTCTTCTTCGTGGCGTACATTGTGGGCGAGCCCTTCCAAGCTTTCTTGTTACAGAAATTCGCCGTGCACTATGTTTTGGGTGGAAACGTCATTGTATGGGGCATTGCCACGCTGTGCTGCGCTGCAGTACAGAACTACCACGGCATGCTTGCGTTGCGTGTGATTCTCGGGTTTGCAGAGGCGGCAGTCGTGCCGTGTCTTATTCTTCTCACCACCAACTTCTACGACCGTTCGAAAGCCGCCTTCCGCATTGGAATTTTCTACTCGGGGCTCGGATTCGGCCAGATTTTCGGCGGCTTGTTGTCTTTCTTATTTCAGCTCGTGGACAGCACCACCTTTGAAGGCTGGCGCATCTTGTTCTTGGTGGTAGGCATCATCAACATTCTCACCGGGTTGTACGTGGTTGTGTTCATTCCACCCGAGCCCTTGAAGGCCAAGATGCTTTCGCCCAAAGAGAAATTTGTGCTTTTGGAAACCTTGACAGAGACAAAAATAGGTGTTGTCAGTCATAAGTTCAAACCTAGACAGGTTGTGGAGATGATGCTCGATCCACAGTGCTGGCTCTACTTGGTAATCTCGGCCACCATCTCATTTTCTTCCAACACCATCTCGTCATTTTCCGCCAAGGACATTGTATCTTTTGGGTTTTCCGCCAAGCAAGCTGCACTTCTCAACATGCCCTCGGGAGTGGTCAGTATCGTCACGTCGTGGATCTCCACCTACTTCATCATGCGGGGCACGACCCGGTATGTGGCCATTTGCGTGCTCCTTGTGCCGGCCATATGCGGAGCTGCTTTGATGTCGTTTTTGCCCAAGTCAAACAAGGCGGGCCTTTTGATTGGAATCTACATGATTAACTGCATCACCGCCCCACTTGCCATAGTATACTCGTGGGCCTCGGCTAATGTGGCTGGCTCCACTAAGCGTATTGGCGTCACGTCCCTCTATATAAGTATCGGGTTTGCTCTTGGAAACATCACGGGGCCTCAGTCATATAGAGCCGAGGACGCGCCGTACTACTATCCTGCCAAGATCTCGATGTTGGCCACGCAGGCTGCGAGTTTTGGTTTGGCTTTGGTCATTGCGGGAATCTACTACTTGAGAAACAAGCGCCGCGACTCCATGGCACTGAAGGAAAATGTAGAAGGGCTTGTTCTTGATGTGTGGAGCGACCTAACCGACATGCAGAACAAGGCCTTCAGATATACATACTGATTCTAGAGATATAGATAGATTTGTTTTTTAATACTCATTGTTAGTAAATTTTTTTATTAGGTTGGTGAGCAGATCTGTTTTTGAAGGCTGACTTTGTATGGCAACAATTGAGCGTTGCTGGCCGGAATGACTTCTTGTTTCTGGTTTTGAGGCCAGAACTCCAATTAATATATTAAATTTTGGTTCAAATTCATATCAAGTCGCTCAATTAGCAAAATATCATCAGCTTTATTTCTAATCATACTCGTACTTAAAAAGTTTCTGGCTCTCCTATACACATCCACGAGTATTCTCGTCTTTTTTAAACAGAGACGTAGAAAGCGGTTCACCCGATACACTGCGTCCAATGCGCTGAATATCCGGAATCTCTTCCAAAAGCAATAATTGTTCAACTTAAGCGCTTATGTGCAACTCTAGGTATTTTGTTTTAGCTGGAAAGATACAATGTCATACAAATATCATACTAGACTATAGGGAGACATCAACGTATAGCAATGGTTTCAACAAAATAATATCTTAAATAAAGAAATTGAAAAAAGCAACAAATAAAGGAGCAAAGTAGAACAAGACATTTCCAAAATAGAACCGACAAACATGAAGAGAAAACAATTCTCGTGTCTCAATTGAATCCCTATACATATTTGATGTCATTTCACAAGCCTTTGAATATCTTGGCGAATTGAAAGTGACTTTTCTTCAATAGGTAGCCCCAATTAAGATAACTTTTTTACTGATCAGTCTCGTTATTCAAATAATAAGGATTTGCAAGAAATACAAAACCACCCCTACTGTAGTAAGTACAACATAAATCTCCTTCTATTCAAAGTCCCGAAGATTTTGTTCGTTAGCTTTGACGCATTGGATCACAATTGATTTTTCTCTCTTTACTAAACCGCATTAATAGAAGCAATGGTTAAGCTAGACACTCACTCTACTGTTAAATATTTACTGATCAGTAGAGTTTTTGTGAAAACTAACCCTGATGGTGTCACCCTTTGCTCTGAGAAGATGGTTACTCATTGAGGTCTCAGAAATTAAATCAAACTGGCGGTACAGGGTGATGATACCGATTTGACACTTATTGACATAAACTGGATATAAAACATACTTTCCTACTTGCTGATTATAGTCATCTTCACCGGATTGCAGTGTGAAAAGTCGAGATCATATAGATCTTGTATCTGAATTTCGTTTTCGCACGATTCATATCCTATGTGTCGCAAAGGACTAAAGGTTTTGACAGAGGTCTTAATGAGAGCAATATTTCGACCATCTTTGAGACGATCTTCTCCAAAGCATAGTTTGAAAGCTCGCTAAGCTGAATGTATTCGGCATCGTATATCGAGCATGATAGGATTCTGATAGACCCCGTTTGCAAGAGCTTTTAGCATTCTTTTAAAAAGAAAAACACGTGACGCCGAAAAATGAGAAAAGTGCTTGATTATTTTTGATTCCCAACAAGGACATAATTTTCCATTCAAGGAAAAGTGATTGGTATTTGGCGGGTAGCCTCGTTCATCATGACACTAGGTATAATCTCGAGATTTTGAAGTGTATTCTTCTGGACTCCACAAAAGTGGCTATATAAATGTATTCTGGTTTAATTGAAACTTTCAGCGCTCTCAATGTATACTCTCGGTGGTCCTCACTCAAGTTTTCGGCATTATTGTTCAAAGCTAAGTTTGAATCAGCAACGACCAAATAGATAAATATACATCAATCATAGCTCAGCCGTTGTATTGCTGATGGTGCCTGTCTTTTCCGTTTCTGAAACATCATGATAAACGGTACGTGCGTATCTAAACGGAGAGCAGATGGCGCTCCTATATTATAACTTGTTTAGCTTAAGAGGCAAGGGGTAGACATTTTCTGGGCATGACATTTGCCAAATTTGATATTTGCCCAATATCAAGTCGATATTGTTTTGAAGCTGAAAATGCAAGATAGTGCCATTCGAATAAAGTGATACTTTAGCACGAAGCTGAGGTGCAGCGTTGAATTTCTAGCCCCAGATCCGCATGATTATATTCATTTGTCTCATGAAAAGCTTAAACCCAACTTTTCTTTCAGCTCGAGCCATATATTTGATTTCCGAAATATATCATCCACGGTTTCAAGTTAAAATTATCTTGGTTCAATGGAACGGTTCCATCCGCTCCAGTTTCCAGAACTTTGCTTACGTATAATTTGCTTAGATTCGTGCTTAACGCTCGAAGCAACCTATCAAAGGCATAAAATCTGTGTCTGAAAATACCAATCCAGGTATTTAGGAACTAATTCGCTAGCTACGTTTTGCGAATCCCACACCAATTTCTTTACAATCAAATTTCGACAGTCGTAACTTGTAACTACCTCTTGCTAAATTCTATCACTGTCTTCCAAACCAAGCAAGGAATCATTTGAATCTTTAAAAGCCTCAATACTTTCTGAACTCTCACTGTCCTTAGATGATGTCCGGCTAGAATAGGTTTGTGATTGACCTTTTGCCATAAGCAGCTTGATTTCCTTCCTCAGTATGCTTCCAGTTGTGGAAATAAAGCAGCCTTTAAGCGTTTTGTTTAACATTTCTTCCAAAGTAGCGTCAAGCAGTATTTGCAAGGCAGAAATAAAGGCCCAAGGCTCGTTTCAGTGCTGTAGACTAGAAGGAGGCCGTGAACATCTCATAGACCAAAATTTTGTGCAAAGGACTGATTATGAATAAAATGTTATTTTTTATCTAAGAATGATTGGTATCAAACAAGACAAATGAGCATTGCAGACATCTTACTTATCTTTAAAAGACGATTAATCCCGGCTATTAAAAAAAACCCTGCTTTTTCAACATTATACTCTACTTGCAAATATTGGGAGATGTCAAATAGACCGGTATTTACTGAAATTAGAGGAAATGGGCCACCACAAGCACCCACTCATATACCGAATATAATATACAGATGCCTTTCGTCAGAGATACTACAGATAATACAATGGTAATAGCTAAGCAAAAAAACCAATGTGTCTCTTTTGCGTAATTTGAATACTGGTGCTACTTTTAAACGCGAAATACTCCCAGGCCACCATAACCAAGCAAAAAATAAAATCGTCATTGTTTTGGTGTTCTGCCATATTTATTGGACCCCCAAAATAAGGATCTATATAGTTTTGGACACTATTTTTTACAATATATGTGCTTGGTCCTTGTGGTTTAGAACATTTATATATCAGAATTACAATGAAGATGGGTAAATCATTGTTCGCTGTGACCTGTGTGCATTCAAACGAAATTCATCTAGCCGGCTATCTCTGGGAGTCTTTGCATTGTTCGCACTATACAAAAACAAGAAAAAAAGCTCGGGCAAACGATTTTTGGACCGAATCGCTACAACCTAAAATTTAGTTTATTCAGCTCTTTCTATACGTGCGTCAGCTATGCGACCTACAAGATGTTAAGATCTAGACCTCAGAATCAAATTTTAGAGTATTTGAGTGTGAATTTTGGAACAATGTGCCTTCTATTATTGGGGTTCATTTTTAAGGAGCGCAAGCAAAAGTTAAATTTTAAATTGCTTCCTCTTGGGTAAAGCAGAACCTGGGAAGCTCGAGGAAACAATAATGATACCTCAGATTCAAAGAAGAACGTTTTTCTTCATGTCTAACTATTGACGAGTACCCAGATGTAAATCAGCTCATTATTCTATTGAAGTGGGCTTTGCAAAACTTTTGTAAGCTATTAAAGTTGCCATTTTTACACTAAGTCGATGCTGAACTGTTTTTTATTGAGTTTGAAAATAAGTCTTAGCTCTTTTGACACGGTCTGGGATTATAGACATAAATAGTTTTTGACTAACTCAAACAATGCCAGAGTCAAAACATCCACCATTTTAATATAAATGAGCTTCAATACCAATTGAACTATTGTGCAATTTCATCTTGATTGAATCTCCGTATCTGGCTTATAGTCAGTTCTGAGTATACAATCTTTGGCCTCCAAGAACTTCAAATATGATCTCCACGTTTTGTCTCCGACACTCAAGCAGTTAAAGTCCCCAACAAGCACAAGGCCGTATTTTGCCCGTGTCAACGCAACATTCAACCTGCGTCTATCTTTCAAAAACCCAATTTTGTTCATCTCATTTGATCGGACACACGAGAAAACAACAAAGTTTTTTTCTCTTCCTTGAAATGCGTCGATAGAAGCAATCATTATCCCAGAAACACTATGGACGGTGACTGCTTTGCCCCCATCATCATTGTTGTTTTGTACCTCCACGTTTGTTTTTTGCATATTGATAAATTTGTTATTCAGCAAGGTCCTTGATATCAAGTCCCGCTGGCCACGGTACGGAGATGTCACACCAATATCAGATCTATCGACATTTAGCTTTTGAATTAGATGCTCCAATACTTGCTCAATGCATTTAATCTCTCCTGGGTTGGAGTAAGTGCAAGAATCTTTTTCCTTGGATTGTGACACAACAATTTTTTCAGGACAGCTACCCAAAGTGTCCCAGAAGACAGTTGGATGTAAAAGAGGGCCATATTTTAGACGGTCACTGGCATTGATTCCATCCTTGAGAAGTCTGCCATAAAATTCGTTCCTTGGAAACTTACTCAATTCTGGGTGCATACGATACTGTAAATCGAGCAATACTGGATTTTCGTAGCTGCCGTTTTCCATCATGCGCTCAAAAAGAGAGAAGGATAAAGCAGGAACATTAGAAAAGCTGCTCAACTGCTTCTGGTCACCAACAAAAACGAACTTCTCGACTCCTTGAAGTGAAAGGGGAATCAAGCTGATGACTTCATTTGACTGCGTAGCCTCGTCCATAATGACAACGGGTATATTGCCGACATTTCTGATTTTTCCACCCCCAGCTGCAACCGAAGTGCAAAAAATGACCTTGCTTCTTTTCATGATTAATTCGGATACCGCATAAACATGCTTTGTCATCTGTTTGTATTCTTCGGGATGAAGATATTCGCCTGGGGTTTTATTCCGATTTACCAATGACTTGATATTATCTGGTAAAAGGTCAAAGATATTGTTATGCAAGCATATGTGACCAAGCGGGGAGTTTTTTGGGTATTCAGACTCTCTTGCAACTCCCACAAGTCTCACAAGGGTGTCTTTGGGCATCATTAACAATTTTTCAGCAATATTGTCGACTGCTAAATTTGAGGCAGCAATCACCAATATAGGAAACTTGTTTCTCTTCAAAAGTTGTGTTACCATGTTTTGTATGGTGCAGGTCTTACCTGTTCCGGGAGGTCCCTGAATTATAGTTATGAAATTGTTCAAAGCTGTCTGAACTGCCTGTTTCTGTGATTTATTCAATGAGTCCAGATCCAGCAACACATCTTCACTTAAAATAGGGCTTTGTTGAATCTTCATCTTTCCTAGCAACAAATTTCTAATTTTCTGAACTTGAATGAGCAGCATTGCTTGATAAGACCGACTGGAGGGAACGGAAACTGGAAGTATCTTCAAATTCTCTATTCCTTGTGATGTGGAAAAAGATTTTTTATTCCAGGGGTATCTCTGGATGGAGAGGTCCATTACTTTAGGAATCTTTACTTTTGATTTCATCCCTTTCCTTGTACTATACTCTTCGCGCTTCAATTTTGCAGATCCCACGTAACAAAACAAAGGAGAGGTATCAGGTGACAAGAGAATCATGCTTTGCGACCTATAGAAAGGCAACAAATCTGCATCTGCTTGTTTCTTGGACATGAAGCGCTCTTGAAAATCGTAGTTTATAGGTACTTCAAGCGACAACCTATCCGCCGTCATATTACACTCATCCTCCCAATTCAAGTAAAAATCCCGACTATTCAACACCTGCTTTGAATCAGGGGAGGCGCTTATCTTTTCCTCAAGATACAAATTGTAGCTCATTGCATTGAAATACTCATTTATTGAGTTGTAGGTGAGTCTGGGAATACCCAGAGCTTCGGATTCAAAGTCCTCTTCATCATGAGGTTTAGATTCGGATGCAAGCATTGAATCAATTTCTCCGCTTTTTGGAAAAACAATATCACGGGTCTCACATTCACCGTGATTCTGGATTAATGAAGAGCTTGGATCCTTGCGGGAATTACTTTGAAGCTGGGAGATTGCCACAGAAAACAGGTTAGGTTTATCAAGTATTAGGCCTGAAAAGTCCAGAGCTAAATCTTGCTCCGATTCAGCGCGATGTAAAACTAATGACTGGCTCAGAATAAAATTATTGGGATTTTCATCTGGATTACCCGGGGTCAAGGCAGAGGCGATGGACTTGATGATGTTGCACCATTGAGATTGCTGCTCAAAATCCGAGTCACGACATGCCACAGTAGTGACACCCGAAACTGTCAAAGACTTGTATTTGTCCTCTATGATCTTTATGAGTTGCAGAAGATCACCATTGCTCAAGACGTCTTGTTTCTCAATTGCAGTCATGGGCTCAATGCACTTATGACAAAGCAATCCCGGGGACATTAAATTGTTTGGTTCTTCGGAATCTAGATAAAGAAGATACGGGGAGTCTTCGAAACAAGATGCACATGAGATAATCTGCCTCTGAAGTGCATTCCAAATATATATTTGGCATTTATCTCTAGGGTGGTCTATGGGACTAATATTCACCATTTCACAAGTTTTGCAAAGGTAAATAGCCGTTGATAGCTTTTCTTGAGGTGAGCATAAATATTTTGAAGCATCATATTCCTTTGTTACATTGGAAGACTGGGTGTCAACACTTTTCTGCAAATTTAGATCATAATCTTGACCCTTATCTTGCGATGAACTTGAACAGTTTACTGTATGTAACAAATTGTCCATCGGAATCGGTTTTTTCGTCAATGGAAGCTGATCGAAGGTATTGAATGTTTGCTTGATCACGTTTATGGATCAAAAAAACAGCAGTGCAGCATGTACAATCTTACTGCTAGCTATAAATACTGTTGGATTCAGATATTGAATTTGCCGCACACAATCTTGAAGGGCCGTCATGGAGCATTTCAAGATATTCCATTGTTTCCTTATGTATTGTGCTTTTGGAAAATACCATGAAGGACCACTGCTCGAAATACAATACAAGTCACAATATCATTGAGGTCACACAATATCAGTTTTGAACAATAGCTTGCATGAAAATCTTTCTCAACACATTGGAATTTCTTTTTGGAATGTGATTCATTCTCAGTCCACTTTACCACTGAGAAAACTAATCTGATTGTGTTTCCGTTTTTGTTTCTCATTTTTCAGAAGTGCATGGAGTTTTTAGGTCAGTTTCCCGGTAACATGGGTACAGAAAAGAAATTCAGAAAGACGCAAATTCTGCTTTTCGACTGCACCCTGGTCTTTACCGAAATATATTGAAGTTTCATGTGGTGATGAAAGAATGGGTTTCTGAAATACAAACTAATATTAAATGTATGAATTCACAAAGGAGCTTGCTGTTCGGCAATGCACTGCATAAGCTCTAGAACCAAGTTCTTAATTATTTTATGTTGCTGAAGGTATTGTCAATCCTTTTTGTCTTTGTATCGAGGATACACATGTTATTGTTCAGATAATGCTTACTATAGGCGACACATTGTTGAAAATATCCTTATCCGAAAACAGTAAGAGTGACCTCGATTGTGCTAGTATGTGTTTCAACAACCATGCCGACAACATACTTTAAAGAGCAATCTTAAAACAGAGCAACCAAGATTTCTATTCCGCATAAGAACATAAAAGTATAACCATTCACGAATTGAAAGACTTTTGTGACTAGCATCACAAAGAAACTTATTAATGGCTTCCGTCGCTTATTCTAGAGCCCCCATAGTAGAGTAAATTCTGCGCTTAACAGTATTTTGTCCCCAGTCTAATCATGAACTGAACTTCGATTTCATTCTTCAGGAACAGAGCTCAAGATCAGTATAGTGGTTGGGATATAACCTCTAAAGGCGAAGCCCTTTTCAGGGTCAATCAAATAAGTCATGAAAACTTCATGTTTCCCTCTTTTTTCTCAATTTTGACTTCATATCTCCACATATATATCTGAATATAGTCAGTCCGTATGTTGACATACTCTAAGCCACACGGATGCGTTTCGTCTTATCTTAATTTTTGTCAATATTTTTTCATCATTCCTAAATGCTAAGTAGCTCAAGTCAATATACACATACTACGAGCGTCTACAACATTCTTCTAGGATCCAGACTGACCTTAATTTTCAAAGCCGTTTTGACGCAGGATCGACTTCAACACAAACTTGTTAAGATAGATGACCCACCAGTATGGTGGTTGGGACACGTACTCTAAAGGCGAAGCCACTCTCGCAGTGGTCAGCTATATAAGACATGAAAAACTTTTCATGTCTCCTTTCTTCCTTCTTTAAGGGGAAACTCCTCTTCCTAGATCTACATCTTAATCGATTCATACGTTACCATAAGCTAAGTCCCACCGATGTGGTCCTTACCATAGTACTGTTCGTTCATATGTTTTCACCATCCTAGATGCTATACCAAGATGTGCCCGGTATACGTATACTAGGACTGTCTACAACATTGACCAAGGCTCTGGGCCGGCTTATAGTTTCAATGCAAGATAGACTTCAACAAAAGCTTGTATTGACTATATGCAGTTTTGACGCAAATATGTGAACTACTCGTAGAATGCTTTTCCTATTTCCAGGGCTCCCCCCCGTTTCATATTCGCAATCATATGTATAAGTTGGATTTAACTCAGCTTATTATTTTAGCACGTCATTGACAATTAGAAGTACAAACATGCACAATCCCAGCAAAACCTCTTACAAATTTGACTTGAGGTTGTTATGCTTGACGTGAAGTATAGGCTGGAGTTGCCCAGCCGACATATCTAGGATATCTAACTTACCAAAACTCTTCTGTAGAGCCCCTTTATCAATGTATCCAAGATCTAGTGGATCTTCCATCATTCGCACCTGCCGTACTCGAATTTCAACTTACTCAAAACCAATTTTCGCTTCTCCAAATAACTGATATATCTCTTCCACAAACAGTCCCCTCTCTTCAAACAATAGAGGTCACCGACAATAACAAGACCAAATTTTGCTCTCGTTAGTGCCACATTTAGTCTGCGCCTGTCCTTCAAAAAGCCAATAATGTTTTGGACATTGGATCTGACGCATGATAATATAATAAAGTCCTTTTCTCTACCTTGAAATGCATCAACCGAGGCAATCATGATCTCTGATACCAAATGAACAGTGGCCGGCTTGGACTCTTCCAGGTAGTCATTGTTGCTTTCTTCCACCGTTCGTTTTCCCTCAGGGTTTATCTTCTTATTCTTTGAAGCTGACTCAGAAATGAGATCACGCTGTCCACTGTACGGAGTTATCACACCGATGTTTGTTTTTTCGACATGCATCACTTCAATAAAATATTCCAAAATCTGCTCCACGCGCTTGACTTCTCCAACATTACAATATGTGGACCCATAATCTCCCGTATAATAGGAGATTGCTCTCTCTTCACGACATCGTTTTTGTGTGTCCCAAAACATAAGAGGACGTGAAATATTTCCGTACTTCTGATGTTTTTCAGCAGTGACTCCATCCTTTAACTTCCCATCATAAAACTCCTGGCTGGGGAACTCGCTGATTGCAGGATGCATACGATATTGAGTATCAAGAAAAATGGAGTTTTTGCAAGATCTATTAGCCAAAATGCGCTCAAAAAGAGAAAAGGCTAATCCTGGGACATTTGAGAAACCATTCAATTGCTTCTCGTCCCCAACAAGAACAACTTTTTTGACTTGATTAAGTGTAAGTGGTATCAAACTGGCAACTTCAGAAGACTGTGTAGCCTCGTCCATAATTACGATGGGTACTCTGCCAAGCTTCTGTAAGTTTACTCCGCCCGCCGAAACAGAAGTGGTCAAGAATATTTTGCTCTCACCCACTATTTTTTGAGAGCACCTTATTTGCTGGTCCAACACTTGTTTGTATTCTTTAGGCTCGAGTTGATGGCGACAATATTTTATGTCGTCTAACAAGACTCGTATATCTGGTGAAGCTTGTGCATATATTTTGTTGTGTAGACAAATTGGGCCTAACACATGACTCATTGGGTACTTGAATTCACTCGTTCGTGCCAGAATTTTCAAAACCGAATCTTTGTGAACTTTTATCAATTTCTCGGCAATGTTGTCTATTGCTTGATTCGAGGCCGCAACAATTAGTATGGGGTACTTTCCTCTCAATAGAAGTTCCGATATCATGTTACAGATTGTGGACGTTTTACCTGTTCCGGGAGGACCTTGAATTAACGTGATGCGATTTGTCAACACTGAACGAATTGCCAAAATTTGCGACTCATTCATTTTGTCCTGTGATATGTTTAAACGCTCCTCAAGACTCGTAGGTTGTGGCTCGAATGTTTTGCCCAAGAGCATATCAACAAATGGAGAAGTCTTTAATCTTGTGAAAGCTGAAAATGATCGGCTTTTGGGAAGCGAGACAGGTAAAATCTTGAGTTTCGAATAGTCTGGTTCCCTGCACAGTCGTGATATAGCCCATGAATTGGAGCTCATTGAGACACTCAAAAGTTGAACGCTAGGGGATTTTACGTGAGAGCCATCGTTTTCAATTCTTGTGAAATCAACGGTCCAAAAGTCAGGCTCAGTGTATGGTTGCAAAAAAATCATTACTTGACCTGAAAAAAAAGGGTTCTTACCCATCATATCCATTTTTTTTGAAATAAACGTTTTTTTAAATTCATCCGTCATCCGTATGCAAATGGTGCATTCTTGAACAAAATTAAGGCATTTGTTCTCTTCGAAATAAAAATCTTTTTCGGTCAAAATTGGGGCTTCAAAAGACAGAATACTTCCGATCTCCTCAAGGTATATTTTATTGCTCATTTCACAAATGTATTCCTCTATAGTGTCATACGTGAGTCTTGGGGCTAAATCTCGAGCAGAAAAAGGGACGCTACTTCTGTGAGATTCTTTATCTTTCAAGTGACTGCTATTTTTGTCATTCAATCTAATGCCGGTAGAGTCTTTAGGCTCTTCGAGGGTTAGATCCAATGTAAGCTGTGTCATGATTTCCTCTGTGGAAATCAACCTGTTGTTAACCTCAGAGACATGCTTCGAAGATCTCTTGTCCTCTGAAACAGAAAGATGTCCCAGATCTTTCTTGTTTGTCATTCGTAATTGATATATTTTGTGGTGGGAAAGCTTTAGAAATCTGAGATTTTCCTTTGTATTTAAATGGTAAATTTTTTTTGAATATCTTTATTGTTTTTAACAATATGGCTTGGACAAGACCAACAAAGCTAGCACTGTTTTTGCCATTATTAGAAGAAAGGTTCTCGCCCTTTTGAAACTAAGCCCCAGGGCTCAGTTAAAATCCATTGTTTGTTTATTTATAGTAAATTATGGCTTTTATCGTGAATAGGCACATCATTACGGCTTGGTTTCAGGTAAATCTTTCCTTTAGGCTTCATACTTTCAATTGTTGGCAAATGTAAGTATTGTTGAAGTGTTTGTAATTGATATAGAGACCAATGCAAAGATTCAGGCACATCTTTTATTCATATTGGTCCTACAATGTAAACTCAAGGACGCCGTCATAATCTTAGGACTTTACATGCAAATAAATCTGCTTTTGAATGCAAACATGGGCCCTCGTGTTAAACAAAATTGCTCTTCTGCTCTTGCTTTATTACTTCAATTGTTTGTTTTTACTTCAAAGACTTTATTATACTAATTCTCATAACCGACATATCCCTGGAGGATACAGAACTAGAATACAGATTGAAAAAATAAATCTCTTCCAGATGAAGAAGCAATCATAAATACAGTATATAAGTTTATTGTCTTGGCTTTTATGTTATGTGCAGAAGCTTTTTAGAAGTTTCTCCATCTCGATTTTTGTTGTCTTGACGGTGTTCAATCGATGTAAATAAACTAAATCATTGCTTCAACAAGAGATTACCCTATAAATGTAAATAAAAATGACAGGTACTCTCAAATTCTTGTAAAGGCAAGAGGTATACAACAAAGTCTTTGGCTTACAAGCTTTACAAATTATCCCTAAAAGATGAATAAAGTCCATTTATACATTGACTAAATGTGTCTTGCTTCATCGAGTCCACAGTTTCTCTGACTTGAACAATAAAGTGTGCACACAATACACACAAAGATAAATGATTTAAAGGCCCATTCTAGATTGCAATGTCTGCAGTTCTGACATTCACTTTATCCTGAGTGAGGTTTTTCTCACTGGTTAGTTTCTCTTTCAGTTTCTCATTCCCTTTGAGGGCGGAAAAGTTCAAGACATAATTGATCACATTGAATTGTGTCATGTGGAGATGTAAAGCTTCCAGGACTTAAAAGAATCAATAATATACGAAATTCTTTTTCTTTTTCCTTTAAGACTGCTTGAAGCTAAGTCGGGATTGGTCCTGTCTCTCTTTATTGTTTAACCTTCAATTCAAGCTCATATATACCAAAGAACGCATATAAATCTAAACACAATGGACATACTAACCGATTATATTGGTCTTCTTGTTTATTAATTTTGCAGTAGATGCAAACAAATAGGTGGTTTATATTAATAGATTGTTTGCAGTGACTAACGTATGCTCAATTGTGGTATAACTTCTGATTTATCTCGTTTTGACATTGCAATTGTCGAAGAGGCAAAATGAGAATCAGTCTGGCTCAAAGACGGAAGCGTAGGTAAGCTCAACCCGAATTTTTTATTTGTTCCGAAATCTCAGAGATTGAAGTCCTGATTTATCGACCACTTTTGAGCTCAATAAACATCAGGAGGAACTGTGTAGTTTTTGATGGTAGATAGAAGGGGAGCCGAAATGCAACTTTCAGGAAATATTATTATAACTTTTGCCAAAGGATATACATTCTAAATATCCTAGCACTTCTTGGAATGAATTTATTTCAGCTTCGGAATATGCTCGCACATAAATTGAAAAAATATTTTTCTAATTGGTCTATTATTTAACTCTTACCCCAGCTGCATTATTATGAAACCAATATAATGGATACTTTTCTAGGGCACCTTGAGATAATATTTCAAAGCTGATTATTCCCGCAAGGTAAAAACCCAAGACAACAATAATAGAGTGCAATACGATGCCAGACCACTCCATAAGACCACTTCAGAAAATGCTCAGCATAATAGTGTTTCCCATCATGGAGTTGGTACTTTGAAGAGAAGAGTAATACTGCTAGTAAATGCAACCTGTGATGAGAAAATGTTACAACAGACAGCTTCAAGCGGCCATTTAGGGTTTGCAAAACCAATATAGCTCTGCTTCTAGCACTTGATGTTGATGCAACTAAAGTAGACGTAGTATGATGCTACACTCTACTATGAGGTCGTTTAAAAATCTTTATGACAATTATGCTCCATCAGAAACCAACGAGAGGATGGGGTTGATAATTCCACCGAATAGAACTCTGCCATCATGAAGTGCCAGAGTCAGGAGCAAATTGCATATGGGTAGCTTTTCCATTGAGTCTACCCTGCGTAAATTTTGCATTAATATTATAGGCCTATCTGAAGCCTGGGTCAACGTTGTAGACAGCTGAGTATTCATCTGCAAGCTTTCCATGAAGCATCAAGACGTGGGACAAACATGTGAGCTTTTTCTTTGGTAGATTCATCTGACAAGTAGAGCAAAATTAAACAAATTGTATATATATAAAAAACCTTTAAACAGCACCCAGATACTTACCAAGTATCGGAGCTCGACCCACCCCTTCCGTTAGTCACGGTCTGGATGGTCCTCTTGGCCCATATCTGTTTACGTATTGGATCTTACGTCATCAATTCCTAGGATAATCTCCTGTATCAGTCACTACAGCTCAAGAGGTTAGAGAGGACTTCAGCAGCTAACTTTCGGCGACTCACCACTCCTTCGAGTGCATGCCTTGAAAACTGTGGTCACAAAACAATTCAATTATGTTAGGTTCTCCAAAGAGTTGTCGGCCGGAGCCAACATTGCGGTCAAAATCATTTGCTTGGCAAGTTTTAGCTCTTTCCGCCAATGTTTGGAGACTTCATGGATATTGTAGATATAGATTTTTCACAGTCGTTGTAGATATGGATTAGCAACGCGTCTGTGGCGTCTCCGTTGTTGTCAATTTGATGTGCAAAGATGACATTTGAAATCCAATATTTCGCGTGGAAGAGTCCTAGGGTAGACATATGATCCGTGATTGACGTGATGAATGGACAATAGATCGTATCGCTTCAGTCATTCTGGGTTATACAAGGCTTTTTAAAAGTGTATTCTGGCGGTCTGCGAGGCATAAGCGAAAAAATCGCCCCGGCACTATGGGGGAGGTTGTTATTCTGGCTTTTTGTGGCTCGAGTATGTGAAAGTCTTTTCCCTAAAGGCATTCTTCTCAGCTTCCTCGATCCGTGGAGTTTTACCAGAATTTGTTTGATCTGCTCATGACTGTTTCTTGAGTTATCTCCAGGTGTAGGTATGGCTCTTGTCCTATGAACGACTTCTTTTAACGCTGCGAAGTATTTGAATTCGTATTTAGTGAATTTCAAATCCAAGTGTGTTAAGAATCAACCCGTTTTGTCGAGCAAGAAGTTATACCATTCGGAAGTGGCTGAAGTTCGTAGCCTGGCATGTTCTTTTGATACGATAATATTCATGTGATGCAGCATTCTTATTCAAGATACTGGGTGTACCTGCTATCATTGATTTGCAGGGTATTTGTCCACACCAATAATAAATTCCCTTCAAGTTGTGTCAGTAGTTTGATAAGGCCATAGCCTACGTTTGGAGGTCTCGCGTGAAGCTTCAATTTGTAGATTTCTGGGAACATTGGTCGAAATTTGAAATCGATTTTGTCAAGTTCTCTGGCAGTTTTAAATTGGCTGTAAATTTCGCCCAGTTAGCCCACTTTGTTGGAATATTCAAGCAAATCTTTGAAAAGATGAGATGTGGGGAATCGGAGAAGATCTTGTTGAAATTTGGAATAGCTTCGATGGAAGCCGACAGGTTTATATTTCTCGTCGCGTATTCTGCAATTGCTCACTCGCTCGAAAGCTGTGATTATCTTTTCTGCTTTTGTAGTCATCGATACCATTGAGAAAATCATGTGCAAACGCATGGTTTTTCATGGTTCGTACTAGTTGGTAGCAGAGTTTGATCCATTCATTTAGGTTGAGTTGAGCTAGAGACGGGTCTAGTAAAAGAAGAGACTATAGGGGATTTTGTTGCCGTGTGCCACGTTGGAGTGGAAAGTAAGGCCCTTCACACTTAAATTAATTCATATAAATGTTACCGCACTGGAATGTTCCGTTCTTATCAGTAGTATGAATCGAAGGGCCGGATACTCAAATTCCATTTGCACAAGAAAGTCTTGTACATATGGATGAGATATGCGGTCAAATGCTTTCGTAAGATCAGCCATTAGAACTGCTTTGAAATGTGAATCATGTCTTTCCCTTCTGTCAGCTTTATAAGCAGCACCATGAAGAAGAATTTCAAAGTGTTTTGATTGATCTTTCGGTCTTTCATGAATCCTCGCTGGTGTTGGCTGACTAATTTGAGAAGAACTTCAATTCTAGAGCCAACCGCATTTAAAGTAACGAGGCGATTATCGAGAAGGCAGTCTTGATGTCTGCTAATGCACCCTCCATCAGAAAGTGGGAGTTATTTACTTTACCATAAACACCTTTTATCAGATAGTGGGTGTCTCATTTTGTCAGAAAATAGATTTCATCAAAACATAGGAGTCTTATACTTTATCCTAGGCACCTTTCATGAGCGCATGAGAGTCTTTTACTTCATCCTAGGCATCTTTCATCAAACCGTAGAAGCATATAAAGCCCCAGGTGAATATTTCCCTCGGTGTCCACTAATCATTCAAATCATACACTGCTTCGTACTGTGCTGTCTGGGGTTATTTCGAAACCAAGAATCGAAATAAATTTCATGCACAAAAAAACAGCTGTCTTCGCTTGCAAATTTTCTTTCATTGAGATCCTTGATGGAAGACAAGCAATGACGGCAGAATGACACAGCCTTTTGCACTGGCACAGCAATGAGATTGTTTTCACTATAATGATAGTTTGCCAAATGTAACAAACATTAAGTCCACATGGCGAAGAAGTATATAATCGGGTAGCCCATTTGTGGTTGATGTATATTTGAAACAGCTGCTGCCATTGTCGAGAGAATGACTCAGAAGTTGCCCTTTAAGTATCTACCAGCTCATGAGAACAAAGAAGGGGTTTGCAGCATTTGCACGATGAAGAAAACTCGGAAAGGTTGCGCACTTCAGAAACATAATTTCTCTCTCACCGAAAGAATGCAAGTCAGTGATGAAAGCTTGAATTTGATATTAGCAGTATTTTGATCAAAAATGGCATATTTGTTGAGGCACGCTCAGAACATTTAATAGATTCTGCTCAGTGAGATTATTTGCTGCCACTTGAGGTATAATCGAGACGGTGGTATAAAAGTCTTTTACTCTGACAAAAAACCTTTCATCAAAACATCGAAGCACCCTTCATCAGAAGGTAGGATTCCTGGCTTTGTTCAAAGCACCTTTCATTAAAACAGAAGAGTCACACTTTGTCCTGAGGCTTTGATGTCTGCTAAGACACATTAGAACATAGAAATCCCCTACCTTGTCGTAAACACCTTCTAGCAGAAGTTAGGAGTCTTCTGCTTTGGAGGCAGAAGTTTTCTGGGCTGGAGCTGTCATATGGCAACGTACGACACGACTACAATGTAGAAATTAGGAGAGAGGAGGTGCCCTCACAGAGACATGTACAGTTTCTCATGTCTGGTATCACTGACCAGCTTTGCCTTTACGGATATGCCCCAATTACCACACTGATACAATCAAAAGTACCAGGCTCTGAATAATCTTACGACCGAGACCGAGATTTGACAGACTGCGTCCTCTCAAACTGTAGGATGCTCGTCATGATACCGAATGCGAGACTGGCAGTGAGCTGACCAGTCGAGGGCAAAGAACCTAGCAGAAAGGGGTTACAGCTCTTGTGGCTACAGGTACTGCTATTTTAGTTACGGTATTATATTGTGGTAACAGCTGCTGATGTTTTATAGTTCCAGCTGTTTTGTAGTTGCAAATATTGCTGTTGTAGTTACAGTACTGCTCTGTCACAGTATTGCTCCTTTCAGTTCACAGTCACTCACGTTGATACTAGTGACTATTGTCTGGGGTACTGAAATTTTATTGATTTACAATTTTTGTAGTATTATCAATATATTTCATTGATTGATATTATAGTTCCTCACCCTACTTCTTAAGGTGGACCAGGGAGCTTTCATTAATATGAAAATTAAAGAAAAAGAAAAACTAATAAAAATTATTAAGAGACTACACGCAAAAACTCTAATTAAACCGCGGATATGTATACATTATGGGATTAGTTTAAGGAGATCGTTTATTTTCAGTACTTAAAGAGGTATGTATTTAATGTACGTAATAGGTATTAAAAAAAAATATAAGAGATATTAAATTATTATGTATTACAATACAAAGATAAATATAATTTGTATGCTAATAAACATTATGATTATATGTTTTTATCCTTATTAAAAGAAAAATAAAATCACGATGAATTGCCTTAATACACTAGGCCTAGAACTAAATCTTACCTATCATATAATGATATTTTAAAAAAGCCCGCGCGTAGGGCGGGTATCCCGGCGGAGCCAGGAAGAATAAATATTTTAATATTGATTAGTTGGGTTTATAGAAGTAATGTTTACAATTTATACTGTAAATAAGGAAAATAACCTTATAAAATAATTAGCTTTCAGATTACTCAAACTAATGAGTATGATATGATGTTATTAAAGATATTTCAATGATCTTTAAAATAACATCTCATTCGTTTAAAGATAAAACTAATAGTTTCAGTATAAAAATCACTAGAATTATTTGTTTACAAAATATAATTAAATATATAGATAAATCACCTATTAAAATACAAGGTCATGAACACATACAATACGCAACCTTTTAGAAGGTCTAGCTATAGAGTCTATTATATAGATTATTAGAGCCCTTTCATTAGAAAAAGATATAGGCCAAACAATATAGTAATATATTGAGTATAGTAAGATTTAGAATATGAGAAAGAAGATATTTTTCTATTAAAGTATAATAAACATAAATTTCAATATTATAGCCCAGCAAGTAATCCTACAAAACAAAGAATTTTGCAGTACATTACTTAATACCATTTACATCAGCATCTTTAGTAATTTACATTCAATAGCATTACACACACATGGATCATCTAATCCAGTAGGAATATCAGGAAATTTACATCGTATACCAATGCATTCATATTTCTTATTTGAAGTTGTCATTATGGTTTTCAGTTGTTACAGAACAACAAGTATTTCGTAATTATGCTTCCATCACTAGACAGATGTGAAAACATTTGCTGAACAGAGCATGTCTAGAAAAGGATCTCATAACACATATTAAGATAGTAATAAAAGAAAATTCAGATAAAGGATCTATGGTTAGAATCATACTATTCAAACATCGATGATCAATGCTCTTGAGAGGAGATTCTTCATGCTATTAATGGGACGTCAATTGATCTTACAGATACAGGCTTTAAAGGTACCTGTAATACGTAGATAAATTGTAATTATAGGTGTTTCATAATCAAGGTAGTGAACGATGAGCCTAAGGATCTATTCTGAGAGAAATGCACAGCATCTACCAAAAAAAAAGAACGGGACTCGCTTCATCTAGTACTAGACATGCGAACTGAGATTTTATATTAGCTGGTTCGAGAAGAACATAAAGAGAGGTACTCTCTATGACGCACTAATAATGCCCAATGAAGCGAATCAGTGACATTTGATTTTTTTTTTTGGCAGATTCATCTGATTAAAGGGGAAAAACTTTATAAAGAATAGTCACAGAATGTTTAGTGATGGACATGGCAGGGAACGTTTTTCCAAACTTTTCTTTCCTAACTGTTGATCTCTTTCCAGAACTTGCTACAGAAATATCATATCCTGGAAATCTAGCTGGTTTTGTTGTAGCATGTATTATCAAAGATTTTTCATTAAAGGTATATCTATTGAAGATGGTTTTTAAATGTTGTTTCATAACCCCACAGTCCTCAATGGAACCTATATTTCCAAAATAACATCAGCATCTCTCACAAGATTCAGTCTTGCAATTACGGTCCATCCACGCGGCCGACGCGCACACCCGTGCACCTGACGCCACGTGACCCGCCTCGTGACCACCCACGTGACCCTCTGCACGTGACCCGCCCCAGCCGCCATGGCGTCCCGGCGGCCCGTCCCAGCTGCTCCCTCCCCCCCGCCCCACCCACGGCGGCTCCCGCCCAGCGCACGCAGCGCCAGGCCGGGCGTGCCGGCATCGCGCGGCGAAATTTGCAGCGTGTATGCAGGCGCGCGGTGCGCATCGCGCGGCCCGAAAAGTCACCTTCACGGCCCATCAGGCCCTACCCAGAGCTCTCCACCAGCCAGCAGTTCGGCCTTTTCCCCCCCTTTCGCCCCCAGAAAACGCCCCCCAGAACGCTGCTCGCATGACACCCGACGCCCCCGCCTTGGGCGACACCTACACGCTCATGGAGTTGCCCCGCACGCCCGACCTTGCGCTTTCGCAGAGAGTCGTGGTGGCCGAGGCCCAGCGAGGAAAGCGGTTTGCCGCCTCCGACGCCTTGGACGTCGGCATTTCGAAGCTGCTCATAGCCAGCTATGTCCTCACGCCCACGCCCAAATTGGTGTGGCTGTATCCGTTGTCGCCGGCCACGATGGTGACCAGTATGGACGTGCAAGCCACGGGCCCGGGCCTGCAAATGTACGCCGTGGGGCTTTCTGCCCGCGGCAAGTGCCGGCTTCTCTTGGTGCACAAAACCGGCAGCGAGACCACGGGCTCGGCCGAGGTGCGGTTGCCGCGGGCCGCGGTGGCCGTGAAGTTTGCGCCGGGCTCGGCGCTCTATGTGCTCTTGGCCAACGGCGAGTTTATGCTTGCGGACTGGGCAGTGGCCGCCGGCATGGAGACACCGATCAATGAGACCACGGAGACGGACGCAGACTCAAACACAGACACAAACACAAGCACAGACACAAACACAAACACAAACACAAACACAGACACAAACACAAACAGAAACAACGACTCACACTCAAACACAAACACAAACAGAAACAACGACTCACACTCAAACACAAACACAAACACAAACAACGACTCACACTCAAACACAAACACAAACACAAACAACGACTCAAACTCAAACTCAAGCACAGACGCAGACACCGCCAAGACCACTCGCCCCGCGGCAAACGCCTCAGGCACGGCACCAAGCCCGGCCCGGCACGTGTCCGTGGCGCTCGCCCGCACGCCCGCCGGCGTGCCCCGCCTCGCCTCGCGCACCGCGGCCGTGGAGTTCCACACGTTCATCCCCAAGGGCCTGTTCCACCACCCCAACGACTTGTTGTTGTACGCCGTGCGCACGCCCGGCCTGGCCGCCGTGACCTTCCGCTTGGTGGCACTCAGCCTCGCCCGCTCGTTCGAGGTGTACCAGGTGGCGCTGTCGGGGCCCGTGCCGCCGTTGCTCCACGCCTGCACATACGCGCAGGGCATGCTCTATGTCTACGACCACGGCAGCCTCAGCATCTCGCTGCGCTCGCTCATGCGGCCGCACGAGCCCGTGGCGCACATGCCGGTGGCCGCGTTGGTGCCCGGCGCCCGCGCCAAGACCTTGGTGTCGCTTGCCGCCGTGGCCGCGGACCGCTTGCTCCTCGCCTACAAGCTGCTGGTGTTCTTGGTCAACTTCCGCTTCCACAGCTTGTTGGCCGAGCACACCAACCACCTGGGCAACAGCGTGTACTTGGCGTTCGCGCTCCCCGCGGCCGCCGGCCCGGCCCAGCCCGCCCGCTCGTTTGCCTTGTACTTGAACGTGGAGGACTCCTCCAAGATCTGCAAGTTGAAGCTGATCCAAGTGGACGCAGGCGCCAGTACCTTGAGCGAGTGCCTCGGCAAGTCGCTCGCGCCGCCCGCGCCTGCCCGGTGGAGCGGCGTGCCGCTGCTCGGCGCCCCGGACTTGCCGGCCGCGGCCTCGGCCGATGCCGCGCACTTGCAGGCCGTGTACTCCAAGTTGGCGCGGGCCCAGGCCAAGGGTCAGACGGACAACTTTGACCACGTGCTCGTGGGCTTCCTCAAAAACGGCCCCGGGCCGCGCAAGCCCAAGCCCATGCTGCGCTACGCCGCGGCCACGGACCGCGTCGTGGACCACCGCTTCGTCGAGCAGGCCGTGGCGCTCGTGTTTGCGCTCGCCGATGACGGCTCCTTGCAGATGGCGGCGGCCGGCTTCTTGCCGCGCGGCGCCGTGGCGTACCTCTTGAGCCACCCGTTGTTCCCCGCCAAGTACACCCGCGGGTTGTTGGTGTTGCTCTCGGCGCTCGACGAGTCCGCGTTGCTCCGCCACGCCATCGACCACTGCGCCGCGTTGCCGCTCGCGGAGCTCGTCACCGAGCTCGCCAACCTCGTGGACGTGTGCGGCGAGTTGGCCCCGGACGCGCACGACGACTTGCGCTTCGTCTCGGGCTTCTTGCAGGCCACCGTCGACCGCGTGCTCCGCGACCACGCGTTGCCGCAGATCACCGCGCAGCTCCGCGTCGTGTTGAGCGCGGACGCGGACGCGGACCACGCCAAGGTGGAGCGCATGCTCCACGTGCTCCTCGACGTCAACACCACCGGCGCCTGGACGCTTGTGCAGGCCGTGGTGGACGTGGGCGGCCTCTTCAACTGGGCCGTGCCCACCATCCTGGCCTTGGCCGGCGTGGTGGACGCCAAGCTCGCGGCCTTGTCCGTCAACAGCCACAACTTGACCTTGGCCACGCAGGCGCTCCTCGCGCTCGACCTGAGCCAGCCGCGGAAGGGCCGCCGGCACGAGCCGCAGGTTGTCGACAACATCCACGAGGTCTCCAGCCGCAGGGCGCAGTTGGACGCGCTCTTGACCATGTCCAACAACACCACCAACCGCCGCTTGCTTGCGGACGAGGACGTGGAGTTGGCCAAGCAGATCCCCACCTACTCGCGCGAGAAGCTTATTTTCTGAGCAGACGGCGGTGTGCGCCGCCAAGTGCTTCTTGGACTTGCTCCTCCAGTCTGCCGAATGGCCCTCGTGCGTGCTAGCAAAAGCCGGCAATCAATGTCAGAGCCCATGCTCTGAGTCGATACTAGCTGTCTTGTTTCCTTTTTGCGAGGTCGGGAACAGGGGACGGAGCAAACTATCTACTCATGGCGTGCTTTGAACGGTCCCCGCCATGACTCCCATGCTGCTGCTGCCATGCAGACTTTCATTCCCGTGCTCGTGTTGTACCATGAAACAGCTCGCCTTTATATCACTATAGCATTGCACATATTTCGGAGGTTTCCCACAGTAGATGCACTGGGTGCTGACTCAAGCAAGCTCACGCGACTAGCGGGCATTACCGTTTGAGGACGCCTTGCACCTTGTAGTCTTGTCAGTCCGCTTTCTCGTGTCTGTGTGTTATTTTCTGTGGGCCTTGTTCTCTCTCAAGTCTCTGCCCAACACACATGGACTACTATTTATGCAAAAATGTATCGTATCTAGCAACTTTTTCAGACCGTGTACTGCAGCAGACAGCTTAGCCGTTTTTTTACCCAAACTTGGTCATGGAAATGGACAGTCCTGCTGCAACAGTCTTACGATATGTTTGAATCCACTGATGGGAACCCGTAGTCTTCTTAGTGAGATTCGGCGTTTTCTAAGCATCGGCTCCTGCTCATTGCCTCTATGCTTGGGGGGACATTCTTCTGGATTTGCGGCTGTTTCTAATTCATTCTTGTCTAACTTTCGTTATATGATGGAGACAAAGCTTGTTGCAGGAAATGTAATTTCTCCCAAAATTCAGCACGCGTGCTCTTTTCACCAGATTTGGAAACAAACCTTTACCTAGCGCTGCCGGTGCACACTGGTACCTCAAGCTCTTGATGTTTGTTCAAAAAGTTAAGATGTATCACCCAGAAGTCTTGCAAACCTTTCAAAGGCTTAAGGCACTACGCAAATACAAATCATCATCTGTTTTGATTAAGAAGTTCAGAATCCTGGATTATCTCTTCGAGTAGACAGCGATGCGAAAGAACATTCCTAGCCCATATAATATAAATTAATAGACTTGGCCTGGGGCTAGCGCTGGTGTTCCCTCGTATTTTCAAACTCACTCTTTCTCGGAAGAGTTCGTCGATCGTACGCTCGAAAATCTGCTGCCAAATAAACCAGAGGCATGGGTTCATTTTCTACAAATGCGCTTGTCAGCTAGCACACCAAATCACTGTTTACGTTTTCATCGAAATCGTGAAGCCAATTATTTATCTAAATCCTGATGAATCTGGTGATTGTCAAGCTGACGGTGAAGGTGAATCGACTAGAATAATCAACAGTTCCGGTCTTGTATAAAGGCCCAGTGCCATCTTGCATACACGTGTTTTTCGTCGCGTGGTTCGGACTTTTCCAGAACAAAACTCGTAATTCTCGCATCCAACTCATCAAGTATACCCGTGTACTGCATGGGATATATTCCCGACTAGGCGGCATATTTTCGCAGCACAGAGAGATAAACTATGTTTCTTTTTTTTGGCAAAGTGTGTAGCTGTTTGTATAAGCTTTGGGTCTATACATAGAGGTGGCCTGCCTTCATTAACCGTGCAGCTACTGGAAAGAGCGGGTCTGGTCACGGGATTATACCTAAGATGATCACGCCCTGATCATATGCAGGTCGCAGTGAGCAGCCGTGTGTACACAGGAGCCTTGGTCGCACAATGCACGCAGAGGCACAAATATCGCAAATCTGGATCTATAAGAATGCCAGAAGACCCGGGATTTCCAAAAGCACTTCCACTTTTTTTTTAATCCCCAACCAGCAAAATATCTAATATGTGTCCTTGTTCCTCAGCTCAATCTGCCTGCCAATGCAAGAAGGCTTGCCAATGTGAAAAGTGCCAATGTGAGGCCTGCAAGTGCTCCACCTGCCTGTGCGAGCAGTGCAAGTGCTAGGCAACAGAGCTATAATTTCTAATCAACTTCAAACAACTTCATTTATCAGGCCGGGCGTTTCATGATACTAGTTTATGTATTTAAGTAATATATTTTTTGTCAAATCAAGATATGGACTGTAGCAACATGCGGTATGACAGAAAGCCTAGGTTCGCTTGCCCGTGTTTTATACTTTGAGTTTCCAAGTGCCTGCCGTGTTTTATTCTAAGAACACTCGCCCATTTTTCCATTGTATGCAGTGATATTCACAAGCAAGTAGAGGCTCGTGAAATGGGAAAGCCAGAAGCTCATTGTGTCATGGAATCGATACAAGACTAGTCATATATGAGGTTTAGATTCAACTGGCGATCGTCCCTCTAAGCGCATGCTGAACTATATTCACGTTAGATGATTTCCTCAGATCTTGTCGAGCCTCGGATAATCTCTTCCTACTACGGGGCCTTGGCTGTTGATCGGGGATATAACACAGGTGATTTCGTGAGTAATTCAACAGGTTATTCACAAGTAGTACAAACCATAAAGCTCTTTGAAGACTGAAGTATAATCTCATGACAATTTTAAGAATCAGGAGCATGTACAGGAAATGCCTCGTGAATTCCTGAAACTGCTGGAATGAGCACATAGAAACAAATTCAATACTCGAAATATTGCATTTGGTAAGAAATGAAGAACGCAAAAGGCGAGCTGCCTTTGTTGAAAGAGAAAGATGAGTGCCAGCACTCAAATTCATGTACGAAATGTATGTGGAACAGAAAAATCAAAACTTTAGAGTCAGCTATTGTCAAGAATTGCTAATTTTCCAAGCAGTAAGTGATATCAAATTTGAATTCCTTTCAGAGTCTTCAGATTTAAAAATAGCCAAAGCCGATATTTGGCGCCAGCTCAGCATGTCTCAAGGACTCCTTCCCGTCCATGCCACTCAAGGTTTCATTGAAATTTTTTAAACCAAAAATCTGCTAAATAACATTCCAGTAGCGTCCAAAGATGTATGTTTTAGTGAACAGAGCAAAGCGCATGGAAAAAGAAGTTCTGGCCCCCAGAAACAAAAGTATTGGCCATAGGGTAGAATGGTGATCACGCGTGTGATTGGAGGCATGAATGCTCGAGCACTTAGAAAACGATTTTTATGGCGAATCTGGGAATGTCCATAGAATATGTTACCAATGATTGGACGGCATCTTATGATTGGTGCCTGGCAATTTCAAAGCCAATTTATGCATTCAAGCCCAACCTTGTTAGGAACACCCTGGGGGTTTCACCCCGTGCTACAAGTCACCATAAAAAAAACTAGTTTATTTTTCGGGTAACCAATTTTCAGAGCAACCTTATTAGGTGCGTAGCCACCCTCGAAACAATAGCACACACTTTTTCTTTTTGGTGGATTCATCTGATAAAACACACAGCTTCTGGACACAGGGCAACGAGTTCAGCTGCTCCTAGCGCTGGGGTTTCTTCTCAACAGAGTACATTGGGTCGAAGCTACCATCTGCTGGAATATGGCTGAGCTTCTGTAAGTCAGAATCCATACTAGAAGCAACGCCGCTTGCTTGTATTTAGGAGTTGGTTACAAATAGACATATTTTAGAACCATGTAAGGGGAAATGGATGTGAGCCGGAAGTGACTTGTGCTCTACCTCGAATAGCAATGTCACTCTGCAAGCATAAACCCTTTGCATAGACACACGTATAACATGGTTCAATGTCTCGCGCTTCCATTTGAAATGTGATACGGTGGATATTTTCCCGGTGACTTGAAAAGTACATAACAGAAATTGTCAGTAGCGTCTAATCAATCCTATCCAATTTAAAAGAAAAGATGTGGAACCATGTCTCGCGAAGTGTAGACCTGTAGTTCATACCGGGGCCAATAACTTCGAGCATTTCTAGAGTAGGTAGAATTTATACTACAAAATTTTAAGCCGGTATTTTCCTGTAGTCGGGATAAAGAGCATCCCCAAAGACATAGATGGGTGTCAACGCAAGACACTGCCATGCACTACAGTTTTTCCATACCCTCATTGGTAAGGCGTGGACGACTTTGTCGAAACTGTCCAAGATTTCGAGCCAGCTCCGGAATAGAATCTGGCGTTTTCCGAACTCTGGCAATTTCCGAATCCTGGCACCACTCGAATTCTGACATCACCCGAACTATGAAGCTACTTGAATTCTGTTATTACACGGGTCTGACAGTTTCCGAACTCTGATGTTGCCCATTCTGACATCAACCGAGCTCTGAAAATACTAAATACTACTAATTTCGAAAACATGAAGTTTTTTAAGTTCTGACACTACTTGAATTCTGATAACACTCGAATCCTGGTATGACACGAACTCTGACACTACTAAAATCTTTCATTTCCTCTGACATCACCCGAACTCTGGAACAACCCTACATCCACTATTTACCCAGATCTTGAATACTCGAAACCCAACATTTACCCAGAACTCTCAAATCTCTCGAAACCCAACATTTCCCTTCTTCCTCCTCTTCCTCCCATGGCATGACCAAACATTGGCTCCACTCACCGATCGCATGTACCTCACCTGCAATGCCAGGTGCGCGCATCGAAATCGCGAAGAGCCAAAGTCATCAAATCCATCACCAACTAAAAACCACATATTCCAGTGCCATGTCCCGCCAAGCGTTGACCGCATACCGCCATGCACTCCGCGCCACCCGTGTTGCTTTCAACGGCGACAATTTTATGTTGCTCTCCGCACGGGCCAAAGTAAAGGAGAGCATATTGGCCAACCGCAATCTTTCTGATGAGCAGGAGACGGCCAAGTCCGTGCAACATCTCGATGAGGTGGCAGCTTTTTTGGCCAAGAACATTGTCCAGGGCGAGAAGCAAGAAAACGACCGCTATCATTTGAAGTTTCATGCGAAAACCGAGCTTGGCAGCAACGACACCATCAAAGAAAACAGCAAGGCCAACTTGGGCTCTTTGGCCGGAGTTAAGGTGAGAAAGTGTTCAGACAAGTGAATACCAGAAGGACTCGGTAATCAGAAGGACTCAGTAATCAGAAGGACTCAGTAATCAGAAGGACTTGGTAACAAGAAGGACTTGGTAACCAGAAGGAATTTGGGATCAAACGCTGTCTGGTGGTCCTCGTAGACATGTATATATAATGAAAAGAAACTAGATCATGTGCCGTAGGGTGTAGTTGTTTATGTGTTGATGGCCGTTTCTGCTGTGGGCACGTTTGCCTGGATCTGACATGGTGACGATAGCTGGGGTTAGGAAAATCGCAAGCTGGGGCTTCGTGCCAGGCCAAACGGCTATACATGCCTCGTCAAATGATATTTTTCTGCGGATAAAAGCTGGCCACTGTTTTCTCAGGAGATCTAGCGACATAATGTTTTTGATTTTGTTTTGTTTGACCCGTATGACTGTTTGATCTCAAAGATGCATTGTTTAGTAGAATTAAATGAGTACAAAAAAGAAGTGGAGAGAAGACAGAAGCGGAGAGATGAATATGCCTTCAATTTCAGCGGAACGCATCTTGGGTGAATTCATCTCGCCCCTTCATGCATCCTTTGGAAATGTTTTTTTCGTGTTGAAAGAAGTCCTGTCTTGACCTGTGGGGTCCTTCTAGCTTCTACGCGTGCCCCGAGCTCCTCGAAGTCAATTTCTGCAGAGACAGTAATTTTTTGTAGATGATGACCGCCTTGTACATTTCAAAAGTATTACTTTTTTGTTTTTCTTTTTGTTTTCGAAGTTTACGTTTTTCGTATAGCACGAACTGTCTTTACAAAATACAATTTGCACCCACTCACATTTTTTCGCAAGTCAAGACAAGAAATCAGAAAGAATCAAATGAAGAAAAAATAAAAATTTTACCCTCATATATCCTTCTTGTCGGCGTCTAAATCAACAGAGCTTCAGGAATCGTGAGATTGAACCAAAGCCAGCGACGCCTGATGAAGCAGACTGAGTAGCTAATATATTCAAAAGGAAGGCCATCGGTTCAGGAAATTCGCACTCCATTCACAACATAAAATAGCACGATCGATCTTCAGTTTCATATTACCCTCTGGTGTTATCTCCCAAAAAAAAAAGGAAAGGCAAAGGAATAACTAAACCGAGCTCCACCTCTAACTATCAGGTACCTTCCATAAGTCAACCAAGCCACCGTCGATTACAGCGTAGTTCTGCTGATAGTAGCCTCTTTTAACTAGTCTTTCATGTCTGCGCCAGACCCCAAAAAACGAGACACGCTAGTCTCGAAAGCACTCTCATATCTCCTTCGCCACGGCGCTCAAAAAGAGAAGCTTCCAATAGATCTGCTGGGCTGGGTTCCTGTGGATGCGATTCTCTCCAACAATCGCCTCAAGACTCATAAGGCAACATTTGCAGATCTCCAGAGAATCGTTGAAAATAACGAAAAACAGCGTTTTCGCCTCAAACAGGACGGGAAAATATGGCTCATTTGTGCTAATCAGGGCCACACTCTCAAAACCATAGTACCTGAGCTCATGCGTTTAGAAAAGAGCACTATGCCATCAGAGGTCTACCACGGCACGTACAAACAGAAACTAGCCAGTATCCTAGAAACCGGGCTCAGCCGCATGGCCCGAAACCACATCCATCTCACGTCAAATGCTCCATGGAGCAAGCTGGGAATCCGTACATCTTGCAACACGCTTCTTTACATAGACACAGATTTGTGTATGGACGATGGTTTCGAGTTCTGGCGGAGTGCCAATGGCGTGATTCTTTGCGAGGGGAACTCTGATGGTGTGATCCCACCCAAGTACTTCAAGAAGATCGAGGCAGCGGGGGATCAGGAAGTGTGAGAGGTGATATTATGTACAGAAGCCGCTGCTTCATTGATGCCGATGTGAGTATGAAGAGATGGCCGAAAGCTCCTATAGCCCATGATATCATACAACAGAGAGGACGTAAGCAAGCTGGACTAGCTCTTGGAAATGTATTTGGACTTCTCGCTAGAATGGGTGATTATCGAGGGACCTAAGCCACTATGAAGGCGCTTTCGAAATACCGAGCTCAGAAACAGGCATAATCTTTGAGTTCGGATGAGACGTAGAAAAAATGTTGAGAACAAACAGTCGTAACTTGATCAATTTCGCCCTTCTGTGAGGTATGATTCGTATAAGACAAAGGCTGCCCTATTTCTAGGTAAGCATCATTAATGGACTCCGAGAGCGATCTTGTCTTTGCTCCAACGAGTAGAGTCTTTGGCTCAGGTTAAGGCTTTGGGAAGGCAATGTAAATGTTTATTCAAATCCCCCAATTTTGCTACCTGAGAACCGATTTGTCGAAAAGTGCTGTGGGTCAGACCAAGATTTGCAAGGTTACTGCCGATGCAATATTATGAGTACCCAGATCACTGGAAATGAAGCCAAGTATCCTAAATGAAAGCTACAAGAAAATGTGACGTTGCTTGAAAATCCTACCCACCATGAAATCGACTCTTGCCAATGAAAATATTCTATGATGATAAGGACGAATATTTGGCGGCACTTTCTCGAAATCATCAGGTGATGTCTTCAGTGGGAAAATACTAATTTGAGAGTTGAGCCCATTAGGGCGAAGACTTGCATCTCTTCTTTTGTTGCATTCAGTGAGCGCAGGTTGTGGTTCACTTTTTTGTTTCAACTATAGGCAGCTCTGCAGGTGAACCGAATATGACCTGTAGTATTTTGAGCAGTCTATAGCAGTTTTCGAGGGGGCAGATCTGCATCCATCGTTTGCGCGAGAGTTTGTATGATTGTCTCGTGTTTATTTCGTGCCAGTTCTGGGAATTATGGACAGTTCTCGTCAAGATTGCGTTTTCATCTAAGTACAGGTTGGTGACTTAATTTTAAGGAAGCTACATATATAGATAGGCGAAGGATGCATCCAAGAGGTTAAACCATTGGGCCAGTGGAGGCTTCATGAATTTTCATCCTGTGACTTTTCAGCTTTGAGCCCAATATAGATCGAGAGAGTAAGAAAAGAAGACTTGCGTATTAATACTAATAATGCAAAACTAAAGAAAAGTGTTAACTGCTAGACAGTGGATTTATCAATTGATTCGGTGATGCACAGATAGATCATATTATTCCAAAAGTATCAGCTGGAAAATCACCTATCCTTATTAAGATACTTAATAAGTAAACGGGAATTAAAGTGTTGCCCATCCAACATAAGTGAGCTCTCTAGGGGAATGAACTATGTTGAGGACAAAAAACTTGATACTTATAGGGAGGATAACATCAGCCTTCAAATACAAGTCAAGATTAAACTGTTTGAACATTCTAAAGCTTGGATCCCTGCTGCTCAAGATCCAGGCACTCCTAATGGAATGTTCCCACTTCAACTCGAGTGATCGAAAAACAATAAGCAAGAAACTAAGGTTACCAAGACATAAAATCCATATTTTACAAAAATGGGGTAACAAGTGTCTCTAGAAAAAAAATTCAAAGCACGATCAAAAGCTCCGTAGTAGTGACTAAGACCAGAAATAGTATGAACAGTTGAAAACGTTAGTTTAATTAACAACAACACAAAGAGCCAGTTTAAACATCAGTTCATAAGGTTAGTACTCAGGCGAAAGGAAGTACTTCAAAGTTACTTAGAGGTCTGAGATTACTGCTATTGTAATAAAAGAACTTAAAGTTTGAGGGGATTAGACAAAAAATACATAATCTTAATATTGTTAGTAACCCATGTTTCTGAATAGCTGCATATGTTAGTATCAAAAGCAAAAAGGGAAACATGACCAACCAAAGAAAGTCTTGATGGAATCGGCTTTGTGGATTTTGAGTAAACAGCAAAGGAAACTATATAAGATAAACACCAACCTAAACCAATAAGAACTAATAAGTTACCACGTTGGGGTTTACTTTTCGATTACGAACATTTTTCATGTCGATAGCTTTCATTTTATTTGTAATTTTCTCTCCGGAAAATGAAGTCGTCCCAACTTAAAAGGGATACCACTATGAGACTCTTCCGAATGGTTCGATTGATAAAAATTGATCAGTCTTCAATTTGCATTACTAGGCTGCTTGCTGTTTGATTGAGAACGGTAATTTGGATGTTTTTCCAATCTACCAGCATGCTTCATATCTCAGCTTGGCCCGACTCGACATTGCCAGAAAAACGACATATGTGATTGCCGGATATTAGTAGTAGATTGTTTCCCAATAATGAAGACTGAATCAAAGTTTTAGGCAAGCAACCGTGCTGTGTCTCACAATTTGCAATAAACACAGCAAAATAAACGGATATAGTAGTGGGAAGCTACTCATTTGAATGCATGCTCATTTATGGGCCTGCCACTCTTGAACACGTCGTACGTCGATGGTATTCAATTGTTTGAAATTCTCTTAGGGAATAAATTGTTTCCACCAACAGTCTTGGCGAGAGACGATTTGATCATTCCCCCTGGTTTGTTTACAGCTTTGTTCTAATGCTTATGCGGTATTAGATTATTACAAAAACTATGTGTGATCACTGAAGCGACTTTCAGGATAGAAACCTGTCAGTGCCTGGGGATCCTGCTCCAGCCGTTCTACTATTATTCGCGACTTTCCGAGTACTTTGGAGCACACAGTGAAATACACGGGCCCATGTGAATTTTTCGTCTGACTGTAAGAACGACAAAACTCGCTGGGGCCATAACCGGTGAACTTTGTATATGAATACCTAAACCGTCATATGCGCATGTCTCGCGATGTATTAGGGCGCGGAGATTAGCAGAACAAACTGCCGACACGTGACCGTCCGCCTAGTGGCGGCGCCCGCCAATACCCCACACACTCCTTTTTGGGTCGTCTAGGAATTTGATAGGTTGATTAAAAACCCGAAGGCAAGACTCGCTGAATTTGTTTGCCCTTTTTCGTGACGAAATGATTCATTGGCCGGCTGCAAGCTTCGCGCATCGGATCTGGAAAAGCCCGCATCTGGAACATGAGATTATAAAGGGCAGCGCCGCCACAACAATTCGGGGCAGAAACACTCAATTGGGCAGGCAGGAAAAGTAGAGCGGATTCTGAGGCCAGCGTAGGCTTCAGCAGGGACGCGGGCGCCATGGGGACCGAGGCGGACGGGCAGCCCGAGGTCACGTGACCGGGTGCCTTGGCCTGCCCCATGCGGCGAACTTCTCTGCCATTGAATCCGGGCGGCGCCGGGCCCCCGGGATTCTGCCGAAAGCTAGGTACAAGGCGTAGGGCGATAGGCTGCATTGGGCCATTTGTCTTGAAAAGTTTTTTTTAAAGCGAGGCCGTTCGGGGGGCCCTTATTATACTGCGGATGGGGCCATGTTTTGAGGCAATTGGAGGCCGGTGTTGGGGCCGTTGTTGGGGCCGCAGTGCGGGCCAGCTGGATGGCCTGGGAAGAGATGGAATTCGGGGCATGGACTGGAAATAAACCGGGGCATGGACTGGGAATAAATCGGAGCTGTGTGGAATATAGAGTGGGTCAGGCGACTATATGCCTATATTGTTACTCTTGTCTTTATTTCCCACCAGAATATCTATTCGATTGCAGACAATAATGTCTATTCGATTGCAGACTACAATGTCTATATGACTGGCTCCAACGTCTATATTGTGAACAGTCATGTCTTTATTGCAGACAAAAGTCTAGGCAATATGGACAACAATGTCCCGACAATAATGTCGACAACATGGACAAGAATATAGACTGTTTTCTATTGCAGAAGATACGGCGGGCCATGCAGGGCTATGATCCAGGGCCACTGTGGGGCCATCAACAGGCCCGTCCCGCATGCCGCGCCAGTTCCAGCCATCAATTAATGCGAGGCCCATTATCCAGCCAGGCCACCGGGGCCAAGAGCATGCAAATACATTACCAGAGGCAGGAATATATATTGTCAAAAACGGGAAAATGGATAGTCAAGACGAGGAAAATATATTGTCAAAGACAGAAAAGTACATTTCCAAAGACAGGAAAATATATATTCGAATATAGGAAAATACATTGCCAAAAAAGCAAAATACAATGCCAGAAACAGCCCAAAGCCCCAGGGCCTTCAATTATTGCGAGGCCCAATTTAGCCAGGCCGCCGGGGCCAAGAGCATGCAAATACATTACC